CATAATATATTAGGATAGGAATTACATGTTTTAATAGTAAATAAAGTGTCTATTAATTTTTAACGATACTGCCACTTACAAACTAAAATAAAAGATTTATAATAGATATTGCATTTTTTATGCAATCTATTCAATAAGAAAATTATAACAGATCAATATCACTTTTATTAATTGGCAAAACAATTCGAAATCACATCGTGCATTAAATAAGTGCGATAAATTACAAAAATGTTCTTTTCATGCATAAAATTTGAAATGGTATAACAAATAAATTTTTACAATATCTTTTTTGATTATATTTTTAATAGAAATTACTATCTAGAAGACATTTTAAGAAGACGTATTTATGAAAACTTATTTATAAAAAATGAAAATGGCAAATTCACTTATTTTAAATATTTACATATAATTGGCTTAAATACTTATAATTTATAGTTACAAAAACTAAACTAATACTACAGAGACTAAACTAAAACTATAGAATTGACTGAGATATCTAATTGAAATAAACTGGAAGTTGTTAAATACTCACAAGTTCTTAAAAGAAAAATACATATAAAAATATAGATGTAGATAGAAACATATCAAGCACCGATGTCGTGAATAACAATAATTATAAATAAGTACTTCTTTCTTATTTAAAATTCTAGAATACTTAATATACGATTATAGAGTGTAATGGAACATAATTTAAGTATCATGGAATAAATGCTTATTATATTATAATAGACGTTTATATGGCTATGTTGTTAATTCTATATAAATAAGATCATACTGTCAAAAGAAAATAACTTTAAAATAAAAAAATTGCGGTATTGGAAGTAGGAATCCATGGATATACAATCCATAGACTAAACGAATTCCGGATATATCATAATAATGTAAAATATAAAATTATTAAATTTTTATGAGTTTCGTAAATGATATATTTTTATAAATCAATTATTATGTTTCTATTAACGGGATATATACAGTGATAATTGGAGATAATTGAGTTGTATTCCTGTCTATAGTTTGTTCAATGAGAGGATCCATGACAGCGACAGTTTTGTCTGTCATTGTAATTCAGAGGTAAATGGTATTTTGTGTCATTTTTTAGATTGTTGTCTGTCGAAATCTTCTCTGACTCATTGGACATTAAATGTTAATAGTATTCCTTATGGCATGCTAAATAACTTTATTTAGTTTATAAATTATATAATGGCAAATGAATAATTTTATCTAATGGCAAGTAACTATATTTGGAAATTGGATTTAACTCTATAAAATTTTAAAGAAATATTAGCCATATGCTATTAAATTATAATAGTACGAGAGCTAGCAACGTCAGAAAAACAAGTATTTTAAGACGTCTGGCTCTTTGATATATCTTTTACTATGCTCTTTAGAACAGCATGCGGCCCGTCTGACTACCGGTAAACGTTGCGTTCCCTACTGCGCACTGAAAGAAGATCCTATATTTTTTTTAGTCCTTTAAATTCTAGTATTGAATATGAATCGAACATGTCTCATTAAATATTTGTTTTTATTTAATTACCAGAATAATTTAATATTTTAATATCGAATATAAACAAAAATAAAATAAAAAAGTGTTTGACCTGACCCGGATTCAAACTATGAATCATCGGTTCGTAGTCGGAAACTCTACGCACTGCGTTATGGAGACATGTTCGATTTATATTCAATACTAGAATTTATAGGACTAAATTAATAAAAAATATAGGATCTTCTTCCGATGCGCAGTAGTGAACGCAACGGGTATCGGCAGCCAGACGGGCCGCATGCTGTTCCAGAGAGCATAGTAAAAGATACATCAAAGAGCTAGACGTCTTAAAATACTTTCTCGGAAACGTTGCTAGTTCTTAGACTATAAGGAACGCTTTAAATTTAAGTAATGTTCAAACTTTATAAATTATCTTTCTAAATGTTTATCTTGTCCCATTCTAACAATATAAATAATCTAACAAACATAAAGTACTTTGAACTAACGTAAATGAAACAAATAAAAATAAGAATTTATAATATCTATTAGGAAATTTAGAGAGCAAATATTTTTGTTCGAATATGTGATAAAATGTTATATAGGAATTTTTTCCCTGCATTCTAGTAAATAACATACACATTTATATGTAGAAACGATGTTAATAGGACGTAATTTGTAAATTAATTTTGTTATATCCTTTGTTAAAATTGAACAATAAATCAGTTGGAATTTTGTAACTGATGGCCCACTGCATCGAGTAAACTTTGTAGTACTGAGTTCATTACTATTTAAGTGAATCATAACATAGTAAACTGCTACTAGTAGTTTAAGACCAAGAAAATGATAAAGCACAAAACCAGAATCAAATTTTTGCTTTCAAAAATTGACAATAGTAGAATCGTTATGAAGAACTGCAATGTTGCTTGATTAGGACTATATTTTAAAAATAGTTTTTATTGCATTTTTATTCGATTATAGAATAAAATCAATAATATTTATTTGCAGTTAAAGAGATCGCTAAAATTAAGCTAATATACAAGTTTAGTCGTTATTTCAAAATGCGTTAAAACCTTTGATTAGTTAAAACAAATATTTTTTAAGGTAGATAGAATTATAAACCAATAAAAGAATAATTATATAATTGAAATCATGTTATCATGTTATCAGACTAGGCAGCTCAAGTGAAGATTTGCAGGTCCAATATTAAAACAGATCAATAATAAATAAACAAATCTAATCAATATTTATATTTTGGAAAATAAATTTCTTGCAGTTTTTAGGTATATAATAAAATTATATAAGGGCTTCTTGCCTTGAACTGCTAATATAGAACTTAATTCCACGCTGTGTTCGTCATATGTGGATCAACCTGCTCTCACTACCGGTTTCGGGGCCCTACCCCATCATCAGATGAGCTTGGGTATTTCCACAAAACGACCAGCACAGCGCAGAGCATAGAAATACGACTTGTAAAGTAGCGGTAAGATATTAAGTCGCGCATCGCGAGGAACCGCATCTCGCGATGCGGGACTTAATATCTTACCGCTACTTTACGACAAGTCGTATATATACTCTGCGCTGTGCTCGTCGTTTTGTGGAAATAATGGCTGCAAGGGATAAGAATGGTCCCAAAAAGTCATTCCAATAATAAATAAACAAATCTAATCAATATTTATATTTTGGAAAATAAATTTCTTGCAGTTTTTAGGTATATAATAAAATTATATAAGGGTTTCTTGCCTTGAACTGCTAATATAGAAATTAATTTTAGTAGTGAGAGCAGGTTGATCCACATTATGACGAACACAGCGTGGAATTAATTTCTATATTAGCAGTTCAAGGCAAGAAACTCATATAATTTTATTTATATTTTTATAGATTACAAAACATTCACGATTACTTGTTGTCTTATTTTTCATGTTTTCTTTAAATGTTCCTGACTTTAAGAAACAATGGCTGCATGATAAGTTTAAATGGACCTAAAAAGTCATTCTATTTAGTTAATGAAATTTATTTACCTTTACTGCCTACCCCCATTGCTTTTGGATGTAAATAGAAAATATTATTACAAATTTTAGAAATTAAATGAGAATTTCACTCGAACTTCCAATATTTGCTTGATTTCTGTCACATAAATGACATTGATTGACAAACAAAACCAGAAAAACCAGCCTTCTCGCGCTGGTTAGTTTGGTGACAGTTATAACCGAATTTTTCAGGAACCGTGTTCCGTAACAAGAAAACTTTCAGGACACCGATAGAAACGGAACATAAAACCATAACCAAGGTAAGCAACGGAATACATTCAAGTCGAAGTGAGAAAAATGACACGATGTGTTGTTACGACGTTGCCACCTTAGAGATACAAGTACGCATTTCCCTGTCTAGTAGAGTAATATCACTGTCTATTAACAATATGATATTTTCTCATGATCATCGAAATAAATAACAATAGCTCGAAAAGTTATGACAACATTTACTGTCTATTGAAATTAAAAAAAGGCAAATCATAAATTAATAAATTATGAGATTTTTTAAATTTAATTCTTCATATTTCTTCTTATAAAATATGGGTTACAACAAACATTTTTTAAGTTAGTTAAATGTAAAAAGCTACCGTAATCGCAAAACAATTTCCGATGTACGTGATCAACTTTGACTGACAAACGTGACGTGACAGATTGTGATGGATTTATGAGAAATGAATCTTAATTTAAAATCGACAAACAATATATTTCTTATCATTCTTTAAATATTTTTACGTTTTATTTTTAATTTAATAATTAATATTTTAGTAATTAATTGACTTATTTGTTTTATACCTTATTTTACTTATTACATATTGGCAAGGGCAGTCCATTATAAAGATTATTCTAAGCGTTATTATGGGTTATTTATTTATTTATTGATGTACATTTTACAACGACTTAACTGGTAATAACAAGTAAGAGGGTGCTATTAATACACAAACTAATAATCACAGAATTTAATAAAAACTAACGTAGAAATACCATTGAAAGTGGTATTATGTGCTTATCAATCAAACTTACTTCTCTGACTGCAGTCAAGGGTAATAAAGAACCTTTATTGTCACGTTCTCGTTCAGAATAGTTTATCAGGGAAGCTACAAGCTCTTTGCGTCCACTGTTTAAATGTTTCCGCATATTTTCAACACACAATTTCAATAAATGCAATACAAAAACTCGAAAATTTAGTTCTTAAAAGACCTGTTTGTGCTTAGAAGTCCAATTTTTTAAAAAAGACTATGAGAGTAGGCAAAAAAAACGAGAATTGCTCAGAAAGATTCAACGTCAATACTATATTATACAAAATAATGACTGACATTAGGATAATTGTCAAGTAATAGACGACAACGTTGCTGAACACGACGCAATGTGACCAACAGAGCGATAATAAAATTCGGTTTAAACTAATTTTTGCAGCTTTAATCTAAGTAAAATATCTGTTACATCATTTACTCTATAAAGTAAAATAAAGAGCTGCTCGGTATCTTAAATTAAACAACAAATTTAAACATTTTTGCCAAAATTTCATTTAGTGTCTTAAGTGTCAATGTCGATATTATTGATGACGTGCATCGGAAAATATTTTGCGATTATCGTATAAGGGAAATAAAATGTTATCAGACTAGGTATTAAGATTGTGTAGAATTAGTTTTATCAATGCAGTCTGCCACTGTTATCTAATATATCATGTCTGGTATTTAACTTTTACTCTCTTCTCAACTATTAAGATAACACTTAATATGGATATTATTATGTCGCAATCAATATTTTTATAATCAAATAAATTTAAAAAAACTTATGACGATGTATTAAACGTCATGTACAATCTAACCTAATACAACTGGCAAAATACAAACTAATCAGCCTTTTCGGTACCCCTCTCGAAGCGCACCTTCCACGAGCGCTGGAGGTTCATAACCAGGTTCCTCCTCCACTAGGACGCTTTGTGCTTGTGCTTCTTCGGATTGGGCCGTCGCTCACTCTCCGGGCTGGACAGCAGCTTGAGGTCCTTGTAGTCCAGCTGCAAGTACCACCGTATAACCGACATACGTCCCAGGTGGGAGGACAATCCGACGGCCAATAATTTTATGTACGTCTGCAGGTGTCACGAATCATCTGTCATTATTATTTAAGTCTTTGATGGTAAGTAAGACCCCGGGTGTTAGATAAGTGGTTGTTAGTTGGTCCATCACCATATTCAGAGGTAAATAACATAAATGCTGTATAAGATATTTTAATGTGCGAAAGGGATGATTTAATAGTTTATATTTATATTATAAACTTTAAATATTTTTTATATTATGTATAGACATTAGGGTGCACCAGAAAAATATATATTATATTTTTATCTTTTTAGTTACCGTGAAAATATCTTTCACAATGATGAAAAAAATCTGGTAAAGTTTGGGCTCTTATGAAATTGAACGATCTTCAAGAAAAGTCTGATATGATTTTTCATTTAATCGACTCATTTGAAAGTTATTGGAGGTGTAGCAGATTTAGTAAATAAAAAAATTGTGTGTGCACTATGTGCACATATTTCAGCTATCAAATTGAAGGATATACATATATATTTAATATGAATGCTTTTTATAAACTTAAAGATGATAAAGTAAGTGTTTATAGTTATTACGTAGACATCTGAGACAACTCTTTAGAATACCTAACCATGTCTCCAATGTATCGGTCCGTAAAAAAATTAGAGTTAATATAACAGCGTTGTCAGATGGAGCGGAGCCTCCGCGATGGACCGTCCGCGACTTCCAGCAAGTACCATGAGCTTATATGAACAATTTCACATGGGTCGCGTATGCGCCGTCCGGATGAGCTATCTTGAAAAAATATCCGCGCCATCTGAAAGCGCTGTAAAACCGTATATTAATCTAGCTTTATAATTTTATGATTTTTCTAATTTTTATTAAAAAACGATAATTCTATCACCCGGCCGGATAGCTGTGGGTATTAAACCAAAATACTACAACATCTATACCTCTGACTACTATAGTCTATAAAATGAATAACTTTGAATTTTGACCGTTATTTTTTACCAACATGGCAAATATAAAATCCCTCTATCAAAAAAGTTACTGATATTCTTTAAATTGAGTGCCTGAACGAATGAGATAGGTAACTCTTTTTACTTTCGTGAAATAGAAAAGGAAAATAATAAAAACAAGTGACAGTTCTTCTCTTCTTGCAAAAATCAACATGAAATGTCATAATTGACAAAAAGTAAAATGTCATCAGCTTTTGACATCTCTAAATATTTAACCAATGCCGTCTCTAAAGAACAGCCACAGGCAGAGATTTATGACGTCACGCTAGTTTGGAATACTACGGATTAATAAATATGTTGTAGAATACATGGAAAACATAATTATTCCTCGTATTTTTGGTTTGTATTTTAAAAATGATATAGTTTATATGAAATATACATAATATACAGTTAATAAATACAATATAATATATACCTATTTATAGTAATAAATACTTTGGCAAATAAACTATGAACCATACAAATGCAGCAAATGTTTTACAATATACAAATAATGAATAGGTGGTACACAAGATAATGGGTAAATTTTGGGGTTTGAAAATCGATCAAATTTAACAAAAAACATTCAATATCTACTAATAGTGATGTATTATTATTTGCATTCACAAAATTTATTTATATATTATAATGTTTACTGCAATTAATAAACTAATATAAACTTGTCAAATGATGACCACATATTTTTTTAAATTATTATTCTTAACACAAAAAACTATCTACATTGAGTATGGAGTACGATTTCAGCCATATATTGTAAAACATTTGCTGCATTTGTATGGTTTATAGTTTATCTGCCAAAGTATTTATTACTATAAATAGGTATATATATATATATATATATATATATATATATATATATATATATATATATATATATATATATATATATATATATATATATATATCATATATATATATATATATATATATATATATATGTATATATATATATATATATATAACCAGCTGTTGTATGTATATATGTATGTATTATTACTGTTGCATATATATATATATATATAAGAGCAGCAGCATAGCAGTTATATATATATATATATATATATATATATATATATATATATATATATATATATATATATATATAGCAGCAGAGTATATATATATATATATATATGTATATATATATATATAGTTATATATATATACATATATATATATATATATATATATATATATATATATATATATATATATATATATATATATATATATATAGCATATATATATATATATATATATATATATATATATATATATATACTATATATATATATATATTACTATTATATATTACTATATATATATATTACTATATATATATTACTATTATATATATATATATATATATATATATATATATATATATATATATATATATATATATATATATATATTGTATTTATTAACTGTATATTATGCATATTTCATGTAAACTATATCATTTTTAAAATACAAACCAAAAATACGAGGAATAATTATGTTTTCCATGTATTCTACAACATATTTATTAATCCGTACTATCTAACTTAGCGTGACGTCATAAATCTCGCTCTGAGGCTTTTCTATTAGAGACGGCATTGCGTCAGCATGGCCTCAAGTTGCTAACCTAATAAAATTAATACTAGAAAAGCCCGTGGAAACCACAAAATAGAAATCAACCAGAAGGTTGACTCCCAAAATGCGCGCGAAACGGTGGCTAACCTAAAAATTCCATTATGAGCGGGTAACATCTGTCAATGTAGCGGCGTTATCGGTTTAGTCAGGGCAGGTCAGGATTTAGTTGAATTCTGACTATCGCAGAAGACAGCAGCTGTTCGTAGCGTCGAGTCCATTGAGTTATCTATACAAACTTTACCTTTCGAAATAACGTATTACGCTCAGTCTGTAATGACATATCAGATAATAAAAATACTTATTCAATATAACTCTGACAACAGCCTGCGAACGCGTTTTAATCCGGCCCTGAGAGTTACCCGCTGCTAATATGGCGTCGCGATTCGTGAAACGTCATCAAATTCGGCAGAGTCGGCGTTCTGGTTGATTTCTATTTTGTGGTGGAAACTGTCAAATTCAAAGTTATTCGTTTTACAGACTATACTAACTGCTACTAACCAACAATTTGTTTTTTGTGGTTTGTTTCTGTTTAAATGTTTTGTTCATTATTTGTGTTGGGGATTTATTTTTATAAAAATGATGAAGATATGACAGTGTCCCTCAATGAGAATGCGAGTTACTAACTCTAAATTTTAATTCTGAGCTGACAAATGAGCTAGATGCTTTACATAGACCGTTATTCAGAATCTACATACCTATCGATAAAAATATGCATGAAATCAAGGTTAGTATTGTATCAAATCAAGTATATTATAATGATTTTCTTAGCCGCGTATGGCACAGATCGTTATCCAACACTGGGTAACCTCAAGCTTATTTTTCATCGGGGTAGATTATCACGAAATAACGGGATTAAATTGTTTTACAAAGGGGTATATCTACCCCGAATGGGGTAGCTGTGGCAACACTGCCGCTATCACTTTTCCTCTCGCTAGCTCGTCTGGCAGCCGTCATTCAACGTTTCACTTCAAAAACCATTTTCTAAAAATCTATATTGTCCCTTACGTACGGCAGCTTTTACATCCTGTACCTGGATGAAGTTTACGAAAAATAGAATATTTTATGTTTTTCAGTTATACTATTTCGTGATAAAATATAAAAAATTGTGGAAGTTGTCATATATTTAATATTAATGTTAAGAACTCAAACTTTACTAATTTTTTTTTTCATCATCGTGAACAATATATTCACTTTCTTTTATATATCTTTTACTATGCTCTCTAGAACAGCATGCGGCCCGTCTGGCTGCCGGTAAACGTTGGGTTCCCTACCGCGCAATGAAAGAAGATCCTATGTTTTTATTAGTACTTTAAATTCTAGTACTGAATATAAATCGAACATGTCTCCATAGCGCAGTGCGTAGAATTTTCGACCACGAACCGATGATTCAAAGTTCGAATCCGAGTCATGACAAAGACTTTTTTATTTTATTTTCGTTTATATTCTGATAGTAAAGTATTAAATGTTTGTTTTTTTTAATTACCAGAGTTATTTAATACTTTACTATCAGAATATAAACGAAAATAAAATAAAAAAGTCTTTGTCATGACCCGGATTCAAACTCTGAATCACCGGTTCGTGGTCGGAAACTCTACGCACTGCGCTATGGAGATATGTTCGATTTATATTCAATACTAGAATTTATAGGACAAAATTAATAAAAAATATAGGATCTTCTTCCGATGCGCAGTAGTGAACGCAACGGGTATCGGCAGCCAGACGGCCCGCATGCTGTTCCAGAGAGCATAGTAAAAGATATATCAAGGAGCCAGACGTCTTAAAATACTTTCTCGAAAAAGTTGCTAGCTCTTAGACTATAAGCTTATAAACAGAAATATAATTTTGTATTAATAATAATTAACGTTTGACACTAGCAGATAACAGAAATGTTTTGATTTTTATTAGTTGATAATATTATTTTATGTACTTTTCAAAACATTACTATTTTGTCAAAATTATTGGACGGGATTTTTGAGATTTTGTACATTATCTTAAGAAAAAATAAAAATATTTATACATATTTCAAATAAACAAGTCAGCAAAGCATAAAGATAATGTTGAAGAGAAGAAATGTCAAAACAAAAGTATTAATTACTAACATTTTAATAAATATTAATATGCAACTAAAGTAAACAAAATACCTAGTATTCGATTTATCAGTTAAGTAAAGTAACAACTAAAGATAACTTCTAGTAAGCAGATGCCAAGCATACGCATATAAAATTCATGCTAAAACAAAAGCACAAGTTCAACTTACCAGCATCTCGTCGTCAGGTATTCTCGACAACAAATCCAATATTTCGTTGTTAGGCACCACATGAGGTCGGAATAACCTCCTTAAAAATTTGTTCGTGGCCCACATCATAAGTAAATAGCGAATAGGAATAATATACAAGACTAATGTGGCAAGAGTTAGCAGAGTTATTGCGATCCAAGATAGATACGGCACGGTAAAGTTAAACATGCTAAAAACAAAGACAGACCGTTATATTTTAGTTAACATTTTAAGGTAACTTACTTTTTCACGCTTTCCAGTAGAGAGGCTATTCTGCCAATTGCATTTTGGACACCCTGTGTTACTTCTTGTATGGTTTGTAGTCGTTCTTTTAAACTTTTTTTCTCTTCCTTTTCCTAAAATAACAATACAATAATAGTACGATCATTCCTAAACCCTAGCAATAGATTTTGAAGCTCTTAAGGTATGGTTTCGGTGGCGCGTCTGCCTGCCGCGACTGGCGACTGCGACGGTCGCGCGACTACTACTGCCTTGTACATATTTAAGTGCGAGTGATCTCTATGAAGCATTTCAGCCGGCGACGCTACCGCTCCAGACGCAGCGACTGCGGCGCAAACTGATGGACATACCAGTCGAGTCGCGATTGCTGTAGGAAAATGGCGCGTTTTTCGAGGGATGATGACGAAATTCTTATCGAGGAAGTCCAAAAATATGAAATATGTTTTCGTCTTCTCTTAAATGACCATTAATTAGAAGGTTGAAATAACATTCTTTCTTTCGTTGTTGAAATATACCGTGTGTCGCACGTCTTTCTTGCATTATAGTATATTGTAACATCTGTTCATCTTCTTCTTCCTCTAATAAAATGAAATGCAAAAGTTCTTCGTCCGCTTTCCTTACTTTACAGTTAAAATAATGCAAACTCGCTATATAAAAAACCAGATGTCAACTGAGTCGTTCTCCTCTAGACGCACTACTATACAGGGTTGTTCACCACATACGACACGGAGTATTGTAGCTAAAGGATTAGATTTTTACAAATTGTAAGTTTTGAGTTCGTTGAAGGTCTGTTAGAGCTACAATTTAAAAATATTTTTACAAGATACAGAGTGTCCCAAATAAGTAAAAAATATTATAGTTGTATTTTTTTAAATGGAACACCCTGTATATTATTCTATTTTTGGATTCTACGATTGAAATAAAGGTAAATTTGATTAAGGTTTATCACACTTAAACCTTACCGTTTTTGAAATATTTTCAATTTTATGAAATTGTAGTAAAAATTTTAAGGCTTTATTTCTCCCAGGGTATCAAAGTCTTTAGTACTAAATATTTACTGAAGATTATTTATTGATCAGATATTGTGTTGCAATAATAAAAATTTTACTACCTTATACAGAGTGTCCAAAAATTTATATTAAATAATTACTAGCTTTAAACGGCAATAACTTGTTTAATTTAAATGGAACACCCTATATATTTTACGTGAATCAGATGCACAATATAATTGTCTATCAAATTGTATTATACCATTTTTTACCCATCTCTTCAAGTTTTCGTAGAAAATGCATTTCCTTATAATTTAGACCTCATTTATCACTATACCCATGGAATATTGACATTTCAGATTTTTTTATAGCACCATAATATGTACAAATTGTACAGGTGGTAAATATTGCAAGCCCATTGGCATACAAAAAAACTATTTAAATCTTTGTAAAAGTGTGTACCAATTAAATATACCACCATTATTTCCTACAAAAATGAGTTAATTACATACTTTCAAATTGTTTTAATTGATAAAATATTCTAAATGTGGATTTGGTTCAGAAATCAATATAATAATAAGATATAAAAATGAATGTCTCTGTTTTTATAAATAAGCATTCGTCAATAAATGAAATAAAATTTATAAGGTGTTACTTTTTACCACACTGTCTAATACACACACAAAATTCAGTTTTTTAGTATTTGGAGCAATTATTACTACAACGTAAACAGTCAATTAATGTGGTTTGAATACTGGGATCATATTAATTGGTCCTCTTTTAAAAAAATATTTAAACAGTTTTTTTTATTTTTTAATTAAATAAGCGAACTATATCAACAATATTAGTATCTGTACCCTTTGAAAATTTGTTACATTTTTAAAAATGTCAATGTTCCATGGGTATAGTGATACATGAGGTCTAAATTATAAGAAAATGCATTTTCTATGAAAACTTGGAGATGGGTGAAAAATGGAACAATACAATTTGATAGACAATTACATTGTGCATCTGATTCACGTAAAATATATAGGATGTTCCGTTTAAATTAAACAAATTATTGCCGTTTAAAGCTAGTAATTACTTAATATAAATTTTTGGACACTCTGTATAAGGTAGTAAAATTTTTATTATTGCAACACAATATCTGATCAATAAATAATCTTCAGTAAATATTTAGTATTAAAAACTTTGATACCCTTGGAGAAATAAAGCCTTAAGTTTTTTACTGCAATTTTATAAAATTGAAAATATTTCAAAAACCGTAAGGTTTAAGTGTGATAAACCTTAATCAAATTTACCTTTATTTCAATCGTAGAATCCAAAAATAGAATAATATACAGGGTGTTCCATTTAAAAAAATACAACTATAATATTTTTTACTTATTTGGGACACTCTGTATCTTGTAAAAATATTTTTAAATTGTAGCTCTAATAGACCTTCAACGAACCCAAAACTTACAATTTGTAAAAATCTAATCGTTTAGCTACAATACTCCGTGTCGTATGTGGTGAACAACCCTGTATACACCAACCATCAGCGACTAGCCACCATCGCCAGACGCAGTCGCCAGTCGCGGCAGCCAGGCACACTACCGAAATCATACCTTTACAGCCCACCACCACAGAATAATCCACCACATTATGCAGATGTTTAAAAAAAGGGGATGGTAGATCTTGTGAAAAGAAACATCTTCTCTCTTTACCATTTTTAAAATAGATTAAAATAACCGAGTTATTTAACATTGAAAACCTGGATTTGACCCTGTAGAGAGTGTATACTGTATGTTAATTACTTTATCATCTTCATCTTCTTCGTCAATATCCGAGTCAGCAATTTCATCCCATGGTACCGACGACGGTCCAGCCAAAGTTCTGACAATATACTGCTTGCCAAAAAGTAACAAAGCACCGACCGGTACCATCCATATTTGAAAATAATAACACAGCAACAACCAAACGATTAAAGCGGCAAAACTTTGAAATTTTGACTCCCATTCGAAAGAATCCCTAAAAAAATATTACAGTCAATATAGTATCCATCAATAACATAAAATGTAAAATAATGCTAAGTCTCGCAACGAAGTCTTTCCACTACAAAAAGCTGTGAAACCTCATGTAAAAGCAAATCAATTATTTTAGTTAGTGCCTATGAAAGCATCTATTCAATAACTTGGTGGCTGTATCAATATTAGATCTCCATTTCTATAATTATAATGACCTGGCAATTGTATGGCAACATTCTACTAGTTAAAATACTTTATTCCTAAGTAGACTTATTATATTTAATCTGTATTCTTAACGTAACGGCGAATCTGTATTCGCCGTTGTTTCTCAGCTTCGCCTACTGAGGTGTCCGTTGAGGAGACAGTGTCCTGTTAGAAACCCCGTGACAATCCGAAGATTGCTTTTACTTAAATCAAGGAAAACCTTTGATTTTTCTCGGTCGTAAGTTCTGAGGAACTTTTTCGAGTTTTTCTTAGACCGTTGGAGGACACCCATTCCAGGTTAGGTTACGGATGGAGTGTTTAGATTCTTCAGTTCCGCTTTCAGTTGGTTCCCGCATGGAAAACAGAACGGTCCTGGTTCAGTTAGTGGAATTTTGAAATTTTGACTCCCATTCGCTCCTTTCCTCTGGTACAAAGAAAACAAGGTATGATTGATAGCGGCTCCAATTTCGTTAAGTTTGCGCATACCATCTGTGACGTCATACTCCATACAAAAAAATGTCCATATTGTTCAATTGCCACTAATAAAAAAAGACCTAAAATAGGGAAGAATTAGGACATAACCCCAAAAGTTATGTCAAATCATCGAGCTTGACATTTGAAAAATTATTTTCACATTTTGACACAATCAAATTTCATAGATGACACAATCTGTTTGACAATTTGAAATTGGCGCGCAGAGCTTGCCGACCAATGGTGCCGTTTATCACCTGTGACTGATCAGGTACTGACCAACCTGCGCAATATCATACCTTGTATTCTTTGTATCATGCTCCTATCCTAGCTAGATCATTTGCTTTTTCATTGCCTTCTATCCCATGGTGAGCAGGCACCAAGAATAGGAGGACTTTATTTTCTTTGCTTAATTTGTTGAGCTTCTCTAGGCATTCTTTGACCAACTTTGGTGTAAAAAGATGGTGGTAAAATTATGCGTCATCTACGGCTAGACCACTTTGCAACGACTAAATAGTAGTTAGTTAAAAAGCTAGATTTTATTATTTCTCTAAAAGTGACATTTTGTTTTATTGAATTATATTTCTTTTATATTACCAAACATAAGTTTTATGTTAATATATTTTTAATATGTGTACGAAAGATATGTTTTTGTAGCCATAAAATGTTATGGAATCAATAAAGTTTTATTGCAAATCATGTAATAAAGCCCAAAATAACGATAGTGTCATAAAATATGCCGTTAAAGTAGCTAGTATAGCGGTGGTAGTATACCGGTGGTAATATATAATTTCTAATATAACACGTCTAAATATACTACTCTAAGATACTTATTAATACTATTATAGATACTTATTAATTTAGTACTACAGACACCATAGTTAATGTAATGAATTATTATTAATCAATTGTTATCCCCATACGCATCAGCTATTACTTTCAAAGAAATAATAAAAGATACACTAACAATAATACATGAATCGAAGAACTGTTTCACACAAGACTCCCGTTTCGCTATAACCATTATACTTCCCCTAGGAGATGCAAGACCTTGTCGTTGGTGGGGAAGCTCCTGGTCAGGTGCTGGGGGGAATCCCCCTAGCACTTAGCTTGGTCTAAGAAGCATCTCACTCATCGTCTTGTCCCTGACTGTAGTGTCGTGGCCAGGGAATTGCACCAAGAGATATAACGATACCGGGCGGGGCTACGGACAGCCTCAACCTTGGCGCACCCCATTGTATTTTACCCCTTACTTCTACATGCGGGGCTCTGTAGAAGTGGACCGACTGTCCCTAGCGACTCATAGGAACACTATGATATCTGATAATAATAGTAATAAAAACATCACCGGTGAAGCTGTGGGGAAACCCCCTAGCGACACTGGGAACAGTAACAATGAAAGTTCCAAGGGGCCAAACCATAAGAGAACTACAGGAGAGGTGGCTGACACTTGCGTGAGACCATCCTCCGCAAGTGGCATACAAGTTACCACCTCCTCCAAGGGTCGGGAGCCTACCTCCCACCTCTAAACCCAACAGGCGACACAAGCTACCGTTTCGTCTACCCGGCCTGGGTCGTAGCCCCTCGACTGTAACAACTGATTAATATACACGGGTCTCCGTAGGAAGTCCTGGGACTGTATGATGAGTTATAACTCAAGAAAGGGGGACACAATAGATCTCTAAGGTCGCAGAGATTAACCCCCCTCCCACTTATTCTAAATTCTAATAACCATTATAATTAATCGTTAATTATATAACTCGGGTGGTATTGATCAAGCGTAACTGTATCAAAAATAGAAGGAATTGGACCACTACCTCTGTTCATATTGTCTTTACATTTATTTATTTTGACGCTCTTATATATATATGCTACTGTAAATGTCCGAAATGCGGTAAAACCTAGGATAAGCGCGCTAAACCTAGGATTTACCAAAAGCATTAACTAATTAGGTTAGCCTGGTTATTTGGAGGGTGTTATGCATTGGTTAGCCTGGTTATTTGGAGGGTGTTAATGCATTGGTTAGCCTGGTTATTTGGGGGGTGTTAATGTATTGGATAGGTGGTTATTTGGTGGGGTTGGTTGGTTTTTACTACCACTTGCTTTTGGTAAATCCTAGGTTTTACCGCATTTCGAACATTGACAGTAACATATACATTTAATTGCCTGTAATTTAGGACGTGTTAGCTTAATTTTAAATAATATAAAATGATATAATTATAATAATCAACATATCTTAAATAATTAATAAAAGCAAAGATGTTCTGAGCTTTGGGGTAAAAAAAATTATGCGAAGTACTTGTCTTAAGTCATTTGAATTACTGTAATTTTGTATATGGACCTTGTTTGGATGTTTCAACCAAATTCAAATTGCAAAAAGTCCAGAACTCTTGCATTCGTTTTATTTACAACCTGAAACGTAGTGATCACGTGAGCCACAAACTTTATGATCTAAAGTGGCTAAATATATCGGATCGACAAAAACTTAATTTTGCTTGCTTCTTGCATAAATTAATTAAATCTGAGAGCCCTTCATATTTGAAAAACTACACGTAGGGACAATAATCATCCACGCGAAACTCGTTTTAATACGCTTTATCAAATACCCAAAATTAATAAAGCCATGACCCAGAGCTGCTTCTCATATGCATCAGTTAAACTGCTTAACCAATATCCCATTATCAGTCAATCAAACAATATATCGTTTTGCACATTTAAATCAAAATTTAAAAAGCATCTTTTACAGATAAATAACTAGGTGGTTATCCTTTTTTTTGTTTCTTTTTTGTCCTTTTTGTTTTTTTTTGTATTTTTTTTTCGTAGTATATTATGATAAGTAGATAATGGCCCTGTTCTCAGAAGAATCCCTGACTAGTCAGCGCGTTTCTTATTGGTTGAAATGTGTAGAAACCAGACTAACAATCAGGTTTCTACGCATTTTAACCAATGAGAAACGTGCTGACTAGTCAGGGATTCTTCTGAGAACAGGCCTAATATCGTGAAACTTTTTATTTTTATTGTAAACTTATATTTGTATTTTTTTTGATGCTCGGTTAAACTAACAGCTCAGCTGAATTTCGCCGAGTTAAAAATAAAGGTGTTTTTATTTATTTATTATTATTTATTATCTTGTTGACTTACACAAAATTTGATGTTAAGTGTCAAAATTCTCAGGTTAATCTAATTAAATCAAAATTCTAAGGTTACTTCTGGCAGTCTCACAAATTTTGAATTTTAGTTAACATTTAGTCTATAAAGGAGAGAAGAAATTAAACATTCTGAAATTTTCTTTCATTAAATAAAAAATAATGATTATTAGAAATTATGTTAAAATATCGCATAGCGCTTGTAATCATGTCTGCCAGTGGCTACAGTCAGTGTCGTTGAGAGTGGGGGCAGCGCTTAGTGTCGTTGAATGTAATCGACTTAAGGACCCACTTCACGTACAATTATTTCCTTCATTCATAGCGCACTTTCCCGGAAGCACCTTGGACGCTTTCCCGCACGTCTGGAGTGTTCACTCCATTTACAGGTTAATGAAAGCCGCCCTGTAAATTATAAGAATTACAGGGACATTAGGGTTTGCGTGGGAACGCGGGACTTTTGAATCAAAAACGGGACAGGTGGCAACCCTGGTATTGCGAGACTTTGCATTTTTCCACTTTTTGTTTTGATGGGATTATACTTACTGGAAGAACTTTCCGATTTCCAAGAAATGCATTAAAAAGACTTTAAGCCTTAACACGTTCCTAACGAAAACTTGTCGCTTAAACTTCATCTCCGTCTGCATGAATTTCTCCTCTCTGGGATTCAGCGTGCGTATACACGCCCTAATCGGGTTCCATTCGATGTACATTTCCAATAGGATTTGGGGAGAGTTGCCCTTGGCCCTGCTGCGAAGTTTCTTGTCTTTTAGGGCGTACCATCGCTTTTCTCCGTTTCGGATTCGGAGTAAGGGAATGGCAATTTTACCTGAAATTATGGAAAAAAATCATAGAAAGTTACAAAATATCATATATATAAGACTCCGATAAGTTGTTTTAATGTGTGTTACTCCTGTAAGTTGTTCCAGTGTTGTTTTATTCTGTGAACGTGTGGGTGGATTGACTTTAATAGTATTTTGTCTGATGATGCTTTCCTTCTACGGGGTGTTCACGCACCTATAACTTTTTTATTTTTTCAGATAAAATAACAAGATTGGCTATATTAGTTCATTACATAAATCAGGATTGAGTGACATATTCAATTAGTTTCTTATACTTCGTCTTTCATCGGAAATGAATTCACAGCTTTTGATTTTTAAATGGGGTACCCTCGGTATTATTTTACTTATTTGATAGAAAATTACATTCTGAATCGAATGACATATCATATGTCAACTTTTGACATTTTCTCTTAAAAAATAGGATTTTAAATTTCAATCTAGAATGCCACAGTCAATATACAGGGTGGTCCGAATTGTATTCCGGACGAACTTCGGCAGCATATTCTGCATATAAAAATAAATAAATAAATTCGTAAGTATAAATGTATGTCCTAAAATGCCTAGTTTGGGAGATACAGGGTGTAGAAGTTTCATTTTTATTTCGATTTTTTCTAGATAATTTATGTAGTAAAGTCAATATTTGGATGAAAATTGGTGTCTGGGAATTTTTTGACATGAGAAATTTGATTTTGATGTCAATATGACTCCTGCTAGTAGAGGGCGCCACCTACGTGTGTTTTAACTGTTTTGAAGCGTAATAACTTTTTGTCCGTACCTGTATAAAACTACCGAGCGAAAAAATATACATCTCTCTGATTTTTTACGTAAAAAATACCTCTTTGTAAAAATCACTACGAGCAACCGTTCTTAAGATATTTAGAATGGAAATAGTAAATACATGTCATTATTGACGAAAAATAACACGCGTTGAGTAGATAGTTATTTCACTGAAATAATAAATTTGGGAAATTTTTATTTTTTTTAAATTAATCATAATTTTGTAGGTGGCGCCCTCTACTAGTAGGAGTCATATTGACATCAAAATCAAATTTCTCATGTCAAAAAACTCCCAGACACCAATTTTCATCGAAATATTGACGTTACTTCAGAAATTATTTGGAAAAAATCGAAATAAAAATGAAATTTCTACACCCTGTATCTCCGAAACTAAGCATTTTAAGACATACATTTATACGAACTTTTTTACTTATTTTTATTTACAGAATATATTGCCGAAGTTTTCGGAATACAGTTCGGACTAACCTGTATAATAAACAAAGAGAGAAGAACAAGTATTTTCTCAAGCACTTGAAATAAAGAGCCAGATTAAGTGGTTATGTATTAAACTCTTCGCATTTTTCTCTCTCCGACTAACAAAGGTAGACTATAGTTCATAAATTATTTGGAAAAAATCGAAATAAAAATGAAACTTCTACACCCTGTACCTCCGAAACTAATCAATTTAGGACAATACATTTATACGAACTTTATTACTTATTTTTATCTGCAGAATATCCTGCCAAAGTTTCCAGAATACAGTTCCGGACTACCCTGTATATGATATATTTGAAGAAGCCAAGAAACATTCGAATATCAAATTTATTTTTCCAAGGCTCCTTGATTAATAATTAGTGGTATGAACATAGCCATGATACTCTGATTGAAATTTAAAAACTATTTTTTTAAACAAAAATGTCAAAAGTTGACCTACGATATCTTATTGTATCCAGAATGTTAGTTTCAATCAAAAGTAAAGAAAGAAATTGCTTTATTGTCATAAAAAATTTTACAATTTTGTTGACAAAGCTTAAAAAAAAAAGAATATAAAAAACATACAAAACTTCACTTAACAATAGAAAAACATATAAAACTAACAGCAAACATACAAAACTAAAACAATACTTTATACAATTATAGAAATTGTACATTGTCAAAAATTTATTTAATTAAATATAAATAAAATATAAACATACATGTAAATAAACAACTGTATATAATGTCAATACTAAATTTAAATGGATAGAAAACAAATCATTTCTTAAATTTAGTGAATGTGTGTTAAATTTAGAACCCTAGATATTAATAAAAAAATCGTTAACCGCGTAAAAGGCTTTCTCCAGTAAGTATGATCTCAAGGCTCTGCGAAATGCAGGAAAGGATGAAATGGAATTAATTTCAGATGGCAGATGATAGTGCATTTTTTTTTGCATTGTACAATTGGGAACTCTTTACTAACTCAGAGTGAGGGGTTGGCAGATACATGTTATGCTCTGCGTTCCTAATTGGATAGCCATGAACTGGCTCTAGAGAAATACTCGATACGTGCTTGCGAACTAGGCAGACGGATTCGAGTATGAATAGGGAAGGAAGAGTTAATATTTTATATCTTCTAAACAAGTCCCGGCAGTGAGCACAACTGGTTAGCCTCAGTGAATATCGCACAGCTCTCTTTTGTAATTTGAAGATACGCTCAAATTGAGTCGCACAACACGCACCCCAGAATGGAAGTGCGTATCGGAGATGCGACTCATAAAGGGCATAATAGACTGTCCTAGATGTTGACAAATTAAGCACATTAGCAACTGATCTAAGTGCGAAACAGGCAGAACTTAATTTTTTAGCTAAAGCATCGATGTGCAAATCCCATTTTAAATAGTTGTCCACAACAAGGCCTAAAAATTTCACAGAATCAACGACGTCAATGGTGGTATTATCAAGTTGAAAAGGTAGCAACGTACTTTTATATGATAAGACTTTAGTTTTAGAGACGTTGAGACACAGATAATTAGAATCGCACCATGTTTTTATGTTGATTAAGTCACTGGAAATGGTTCTATGAAGTGCCGTGGTGTCCGGGCTGCTCCATGTGAAACAAGTATCATCCGCGAAGAGACAGATTTTACCACTGATGTCCAGACTAGCAATATCGTTGATAAACAACAGAAACAAAATAGGACCTAGCACTGAGCCCTGAGGTACTCCGCATTCTATTGGCTTGCAAGAAGACACAGTCTTATCAACCCTCACACGCTGGTTTCTGTTGTTAAGGTAGGACTTAAACCATTCAAGAGGCGTTCCACTGATACCATAGTACTGCAATTTGTTAGTTAGGATGTTATGATTAACACAATCGAAAGCTTTCGAGAAATCACAGAAAATTGTTGCTGTAACGAGACGGTTGTTCAGACTGGAGTATACATTATTAAACAGCGAAAACATAGCGTCATTTGTACATTTGTTACTCAAGAACCCAAACTGAAAGGGGGTGAGTATTTTGTGTTTTAGAAGGAGGGTAAAAAAAGGAGGGTATCATTTAAAAATCAACAGTTGTTGTAGTCATTTCCGGTGAAACAGGAAGTGACCTAAGCTAATTCAACACGTCAATCAATCCTCATTTATGACATATACTAACATACCAAATCTCGTTTTTTTATCTGGGAAAATAAAAAAGATATAAGGGTGAGCCACTCACTAGAAACACTCGATGTACAACATCATGTGTAGTGCAACGACGACGCTGTTGGAAGATCGTTTTCGTTTCGTTGTAGTAGTGTCATTGCCGCGAAATATCGATGATGACTTCACAGTAAAAGTCTAGATATAAAAGTAACATTTAAAATATGTAAAGAAAATAGAAAAGTAGAGTAAATTTTAACGCGCGTTTTTAACTTCCCAGTGTATGGGAGCCTTTATCCTAGGTATCGGGGCACGGAGAAAAGTTCTCGACAGTAACAAAACGTTGTAACATGCTTTTGCATTGGAATACTCACCCAGAAACTCGACTTTGTGATCCCTGTCCTCGTCGAAAACAATCACCTCCAGCACGTTGTTAATATCCTTGACGTTGAACGTGAAAATTTTGTTCCAGTGCGGCGACAAAGTTTTGTATTCCGTTTGGGTCTGGAGGCGGGCGTTTCCCAGTTCCAGCACGCAGAAGGGGTCGCTCTTGCCTCCGATATCTGCCGCTGCCAGGCCGGTCGCTTTGAACACTTTGACCGTCAGATGACCCACGTCTTTCAGGTTATGGAACGTCCGGTGCCACATCTGGAAGAAATGAACAAATAAATTAGAAACTGACTTTCTCGCCTTTAAAGAAATCTTTGGCAAAGTTCATCCAACAAAAATGCCTGAATGTGACATTTATATCATATACAAACTATTTATGTCTCTTCTTTTAATACATATTATTGTCTTTTTTTTAGTTATTTTTTGGATGTCGTCTATATAGGAATCTTTCCTGAGTCGTCAGACTATACTCATGGTAAACTTAATAGGTTAACACAATAATCTAATTTAGAGTATGACAAATAAAGTGCACATCATATGATTTATAGTGATGAGCAAATGCAAGATTCCCTTGGTCTTGATCTTGCAGTATAATAAATTATTCTTGGTCTTGATCCTCAACTTGCAGTCTTGGAGTCTTGGTCTTATTCTTGGTCTTGCTGCAAGACTCTTACAAGCACCTTTTTAATAAAATTTTATTAGAGGTTTCTTCTACATAGAAAAAAATTCAATAAGTAGTATTTTAAATAATTTAATGCAAATGAAACTTGAAGAAAGAAAAATATATTTGTGTGATGAAAATGTGTGTTTTTATAGGCTTTTATTTAACTTGCTTTGTATGTAACTATCTATGTATGTTTGTTCGGGGCAAATCTTGTAAGCTAAATTAGAACCACTTCCTTTCATTGTAAGAAATTGAAATTTGGTATGCAGGTTCAGTCCCGATTGCTTGTTATGAACTTATAACGTCATTACACAATTTTATATTATATGAAAGCTTGTCGCGCGATTTCTCTACATCGATAAACAAGTAAATTAATTAAAACCTGTGTCTACCCTGTCTCATTTTGAAAGTTTGTGTTATGATAGACCGCTAGACCAGGAATTACAAGATAAAGTTGTCGTATAGTAAACGCCACGAATGTTTGGGAGTGATTCATCGGTCGCTACCATGTGAACTAATCTGTTCAAGGTCACATAAAACTTAATTCCAGTGCCGTGGTGTTTCAAGTCATATAATAATCAATATATAATCTGTTGTAATTTGTTGTTTTAACTGTCAAAGTCTTGTCAAAACATATATTTGGTTATAAATATAAACTGGAATGCCCCATTGGTCGCACTGCAAGCACACCAATGGACTGACGCACAAAGACGAATCAATCAAAGAAACGCGATATAGTATCGTCTTTGTCAATCACGCTAACATTATAGAATAAGTAGGAGGAGCGCAGGCAGATGATTAGACCGGGCCTTTTAAAAACCTACGTCTGCGGTAAAAATTTACGTTTTTAATGTAAAAATGATAGCGGGCGTGTCGATTCTAACTTCATCAAGCGATCAATCACTCCCAAACATTCGTGTCGTTTACTATACCAGATTTTTATGAGTGCAACTGTACACTCAAATCTCGCGACAAGCTTTTATATAATATTAAAACTGTGTAATGACGTTATAAGTTCATAATAAAAGTTTTAAAGAAAAGTTTATTTTTTTCTTTCTAGTGTATTTAAATAAAAGCTTGTTTTTAAAAAAGTTTTTTTTTCTTAAAATTTATTAATTAATTATTTTAGTAATTATGTTTTTTAATTATATAATAATCATTATTAAGATTTTAGACAAAAGTCGGAAAACGCAATTTGCAATAAATGAAAACAATAATAATTGAGTTGGCCAAAGAATGCTTAGAGAAGCTAAACAAATTAGGCAAAGAAAATAAAGTCATCCTACTATAGGTGTCAGCCCAACAAGAGTAGAAGATAATGAAAAAGCAAACGATCTAGATAGAAAAGGAGGGAAAAAAACATATGAGCTCATAAGCTGGTTCAAAAACCATGAACTCCTTAACTAATAGTGCAGTATTTGGTATGTTACGACAAAAAAAGCAGAATACGGCTTGTTGTTGACGGCGCCAGTAGTTTCGAAGCAACTTGTTTTCATCATTTTCTGTTATTTAATAAAGTATACTGGGAACAGGTTAAAATAATAAATTGCCGTTACTTTTTTTAATGAGTACCTATGAAAAATAAGATTCCTGATTCATGTCAATAAAAATGAAAAAATGCGAAGAAGAGTCTACTAAAAAAATAATACAATATAATATTATTAAAAACCCCAAATAATATTACAAAGGTGATTCATAACACAAAAGATTAGGAAATTTTATAGATAAATACACACCTAAACAATAGATATACACTTTTAAAAACATATCCTTTTACAAACTTTAGTTCCAACAAAATACAAAGTTGTAGTGAGTATTTGTTAAAATAATGAAAAGTTTTGCTTTGATGTATACCGTGCTGGCAACTGTTACTTTTGGGTCGGCATTTACATGTGTGGAAGTAAATCGCATAGGGATCTTATTAAGTCGGAGTGAGAGAAATGCGACCGACCGACGGCGACGGTGTGCTGTTGCGGCGTTGCCGATACGCCTTTCCCTATCGAGTAAAGTAAAATCACGATCGCAAACCGCTTATTTTTAAAAGACTTTTTTTTCAAGAGATAACTAGATAAAATCATTAGGTTTGTAATGTTTCTAAGCATCTGAAATGGAATTATAAGGATATCGTTAGGGTATCATTTTTTTTATAACGAGAAAACGTCAGTAATCGCGAAAATTCAAAAACTCAACTTTTTAACACCTAACAGGCCATAACTCAAGAACCACTTTAGATATTGAAACTTTCTTTATTTTCAAGTTCGGATATTTTACAATATATTTACATAAGAAAAATTCGATAAGGTTGTTCTTTCCATTCAAAGATTGTAAACAATCCATCCATTTACTTTTAGAGCATAGCAATTTTCAGCAATCGTGTAATTTTTTTATTGATAAAGATTTTCACATACTGTCTACAAAGAAAATACAGCAGAAATATTAACAAAGTTCTTGAAAAAACTACAATCTATTATTTCTAATAGATTTCGAGATATCGATTTTTGAATTCAGAGTTCTAATAGCGCGACCACTATCGAACACCCACTCAATTCCACTTATTTTTACCAAAAATGCAAGTGTTTCTAGCTTGCACTTAAAAAAATTCAAGCTATAGGGAAAATGACAACGACTCGTTAATAAATGAACAAATCAAGTATCACAAGACGTAATTAAATCGTGAAGCTGAACGCATGACGTACACCTTTCCATAGAACTTTAAGTACTGACAGAGGTATTGATTGGTTCGACCGGTCAACTGCGACAAATCTGCTATATCCCCTTCCACGTCTCTTAGCGCATCTATATGTGCACAGTTTATCGGTTTATTTCGTACGTTTGGCAACGTGTTTACTGTCATCTCTTTGTTCAGTACATTATAAACGCATTGTACTCTTCTTACATACGGAAATCTCGACCCAAGACTAACCTTTGCCAGCCCTTAGTATAAGTATTTAATAAAAAATATATAAATTATTAGAATGAAAATAAAAATGTAAAAAAGGTATATTTATATGAAGCATATAGATATAAAAAACTCGAATTAACAATTTGTTTTTTTATGGAAGAAATAAAAATTACCTTTAAATGGTTATTTACATATCCATCAGTACGTGACTAAAAACAATTTAATGGAGCGCTAAAGACCATGCAGGCAACAAGTCTGGCATTTCGTGTTTCACAAAACAAATACTGGCAGACATGTTTTTATAGGTTTCCGGTTAGACTGTTTTAACATATCTGAATTAAATTATCATTTGGAGTTGACTAATCGTAACGATAAACAGATAAAACGTTTGTATTTATATATATATATATATATATATATATATATATATATATATATATATATATATATATATATATATATATATATATATATATATATATATATATATATATATATATATATATATATATATATATATATATATATATATATATATATATATATATATATATATATATATAAAGGATTCTACAGCTCTGGCTGCCTTCCTTCCATCAACCGGGTCCTCCATTCGTCTCGATCATCCCATGTTCCCTCTCGTAGTCCTCTCCGATGCATAGACTCGTCCACTTCATCTCGCCATGATCTTCTTGGCCGCCCTCGCTTTCTTCTTCCAATCGGGCTCCACTCTGTCACTCTCTTAATCCATCTATTTTCCGCCCTTCTAACATGACCGTACCATACCAATCTTTTCGTTTCTATGTACTTTAAGACGTCGGTCTTTCTCCCCATTCTTCTTCTTATTTCCTCATTCGTGACTCGGTCTCTTCTGGTTAGTCCACAGCATCTTCTCCAATACATCATTTCGGTGGCCAGAATTTTTCTTTGGTTGTTTTTGTTTATGACCCATACTTCTGCTGCATATGTCATGATACTCTGAATAATTGTTTCATATATCAATGTTTTAGTCTTTTTCCTGATATTTCTATCCCAGATAACGGAGTGCAGTTGTTGTATACAGGATCTTGTCTGTCCAAGTCTGACATTTATATCTTCTTCCGTAGTTGCGTTTTTCGATAGTGTAAATCCCAGGTATTTAAAGTTATTGGTTCCCTTTATTTCCAGGTGGTCTTCTATTTGTAAATCAGCTGTATCTTCCTCTGTTGTCATGTACATGGTTTTCTTCAGGTTTATTTCTAGTCCTACTTTTTCATACTCTTCATTTAGCTTCCTGAGCATATAACTTAGATCTTCCTCATCCTGGGCCATCACCACCTGGTCATCTGCAAAGCAGAGCGTGTAAAGATGTTCATTTCTTAGAGGGATTCCCATACCTTCACATTTGCGTTTCCAGGTTGTCAGTGCATGTTCCAGAAATATTTTAAATAATGTTGGCGATGTTGGACATCCCTGGAGCAGCCCCTTCGATGTTGTTAAGCTGTTTACTATCTTGTTCCCTACTTTTATGTGTATTTTGTTGTTCCTATATAAAGTCTTCATTGCATTTGTGAGTGTTATCGGGATGTCCAGTCTTTCCATCGCTTTCCATAGTTCTTTCCTGGGTACAGTGTCATAGGCCTTCTTTAAATCGATGAAGGCTAAGTGTACTGGTTTGTTCTTTGCTTTTTTTTTCTCCAATAATTGTTGGATCGTGTAAATATGATCTATGCATGATCTCCCTGCTGTAAAACCTGCTTGTTCTTCTCCGATTTTTCCTTGTATGTTCTGTTCTAATTTGTCTCTCAGTACTCTACCATATAGCCTCCCCATGGTTGCTATGACACTGATCCCTCGATAGTTATCGCACTGTCTTCTATCTCCTTTTTTGAAAATCGATGTTAGCTGTGCTTCCTTCCATTCGTCTGGTATGTTATGTCCATTTATTGCTTTCCCTTTGCATTTTTTTTATAATTTTATAAATACACTGAGAGCCACGAAAAACAGATATTTTAAAATTTACAATAATTTTTATTTATAATTTATTTATGAAGATACAAAATAACTCAAAGTATACTCACGTAACGATTTACTATGTTTTCCCTTTCTCTCGGATTCTCCTCGTAGCTGGTTAGATCCGAAATGGTTTCTGACGCCGTGGTACCGCTGATCGTCAATAATAAATGGAGCACTCCCGCGCCGTCTTCCAGCTCTTGCCATAAATTGTACGTTCTCTCCCGTTCCATTTCCATAAGATTTATCACGCATCTGGGGAGAGAAAAAAGTATAGGAACTTGTATTTTCTGTTCTGTTTGGGATAAGAGAGCCTCTTAAAACATTAAAACTGTGTAATTACCTTATATATTTTTTTATAACCACAAATACAATTTAGTCTACAAACAAATCTACTTTACAAAAGTATGAATGTGTGTCTTTTTTTATCACCGTTTTTCTAAAACTATAACTGAAATTTAAACAAAACAATTTTAAATTAGCATTAGCGATGGAAACTATCGAATGAATTAGTCTATCGAATGGTTACTGAATGAATGATTTCAACTATCGAATGGTTTTATTCGAATAAAATCATTCATTCATTTGTATACTAAAGCATATGTGACAACCTCGCCGTGCGACTAAATGGTTATCGTTGAACCACGACTATCGAATGCTTTTGATAAATGAAATTAAGTATTCGTTTGATTTTTGTGTGCGTCAGTGCATTATTAGTTCTTCCAAATTTTTATAACTTCGCCTTATAAATACTGTGCTATTTTTGCGTTTATTAAAATATTTAAGATATTAAATAGTAGTTTTTTTAATTGACGATTATGTGCGTGTGCAGGTGTCAAAATTTTCCCGAAAATTTGTGTGATTTTCCGTAGCCCGATCTTTAAATTATTTTATTTTATACGGTATATGATCTATTTTTTAATGGGAAATTTTGAGAAGTAGCAATTTTTAAGAGAGATGAGATAAACTTAGAATTAATTTTAAAAATACATATTTGTATTTTAGATGTTTTAATAATATGAATTAGTTGAACTTAATAATCATATTGTAATATATGTAATAATAACATATTGTATTAATAAGTAAATGTGTGTGTGGTTATCGAACTCAAACTATGGGGTGAAAAAATAAAATTAAAAGTTTTACACGTGCCAATTTTAAAAAAAAGTTAACTATGTTTGTATTTTGTTTATGCTAATTCTCTTACATGTAGTTTTTTGCGAAGAAATATTTCATTTATCTTTTAAAGTAAATGCCAGTAAAAGTAAATATTATTTTTAAATAGTAATATAAAGTACCTAATATAAATAATTTTGATTTCTAATTTTTTATTTATATTTTCCTTCCATTACACTGCATGCTTAGAAAATTAATAAATGTTTATATTTCATGATTTTAAAGTTTGTTGTTAATATAACAAATTAGTTCTGTAATTCTTATTATTTAATAAACCACCGTTGCCACACACAAAAAATTTAAAGACTATATTATTTTTAAATAGGATCTAATATAAATAATTTTGACATCTAATTTGTTGTTTATATTTTGCTAGTACGTAAAAAAAATGTTTGTATTTAATTATTTTAAATTTTGTTGTTAATAGGTATAACAAATTATTACTGTTATTATTATTTTTATTAAACCTGTCTTTGCTTAAAAACATTAAAAATCATTTTCCTACATCCAAAATATCAAGTATTATTGCAGTGTAACAACAGAATATTAATAAAAAAATGCAAAATATATAGACATACTAATCCCTAACTAACTAAAGCCAAACAATAATATTCTTTGCTAATATCAACTAATACCAATATATGGCAACAGCGCCCTTCATAATGTATTTTCTGTGTAAATACTAGCACCTCAATAAAAAAAATGTGTCCTTATCTTTATATGACTCCGCAAAAAATCAAAGATGCCGGCTTCTTTCATAGCATTGCCACCGACCGCTGTCGGGTTTCTCGGAAAGAAACCTACGTCGCCGGGCGACAACTAAAATCCAGTTAATATTTTATTATAATCGATCCTGACGAATAAATGAATTTCATAAATGAATGAATTTTATAAATGAATGGTTTTTGCTGCCGAATTATTAGAATACAATATTTCAAGGCAGATGACGTATCTTTTCAAAATAAAAGATAGAAAGAAGAGATCCAATACAAAGCTGTTATTTCTTTTTCATCCAATATCGAAATCAGAAACCTTTTATTGAATAATCAAGATATTTTACACATTATTTATAATAGGGTTATAATCATTTTTGGTCATACTTCTGTAAGTATAAATAAATAAATAAACAACGCAAACAAATGTAAAAAAAATAAATAAACAACGTAAACAAAAATGTCATACAATAGAAATCAATTCAAAAAAAATTACGTCATTAAAATTACAAATAAAACATACACGGACATTGTAGAACACAAGCGTATCAAGAAAATTTTACAAAAGGAAAATTATAAATGGATAAAATCATGTTATATATCAAAATCAAGAGTTATAAAATATTAAATATTAAATACTAGACCTTTAACCAGTGTGTAAGATGATCAAAATTTTAAAATTCAAAATTGTTCATGATTAAACAACAAAAAAGTCGTTTACCGCATATAGGACTCTCTCCAGTAAGGCGCGGTCTCTTCAGTTATAAATAAATAACTTTTATCTAACAAATAACCATCTAAAAGATAAACAATCTAGAGCCTGATATCTATAGGATATAACCATTTGGGTATTTTCATACAAAATAATCCAATAAATAACAATTTGGAGGATGGCCGCCTACGGACCGGTAGACATCCCGTAGAGAAAGTGTTGCCAATATAAGATATCTGAAATTGAGATGGTTATATTATATGAAAAGTCGATACAACAGACAGAGACAAAAACTCGGAATTTCAAATCGTTAGATTAAAAAGTGAGGTTATTGTTCAGTTGTCAAAAGATCGTCAAAATGAAAATAAAAACAATAAAATTCAACTAAAATATATTTTGTGTTCAACTCCAACTAGTCCTATTATGGTATAGGCTATTTAAATTTACCTTTGTGGAAAAAGGGAAAGATAATTCAATTTCAGCAGTGGTGGTGGTGCAATAGATATATTGATGGAATGCGATTTATAAGAAATTAAAACAAGAAAAAATAATCTGTAAGTAATTTATAGTTTAATTACATGATATTACTGTTATATTTATTATATTAACATTTTAGTACAATTGATAATGGAAGAAGCTGGTGAAGTGCAAGCAGAGATTTATAAACCAATTCTAAACCCACCATCTGGTAAGTTATTAATATTGAAAATTAAAAATAGCATAAGACTGTTAGTAATAACAAATATGTTGTTCCAGGGCTTCTCATAGTAAAGAAATAGGTAGGATAGCATAAAATAAAGGAAAAATCTTGTCTAAACAAAGTTGAACTAACTGGAATTCAAAGGACCACAATACAGGTGTTTTAGCAAGGTTTAGCTAGAGAGTTACTTAAAAAACAGCATGGAGAAGAGATGTACCGTATGATCGAAAAAAACGGCGTCAGCAATGGCTATGAAATAAAGATTGCTGTCATTTCATATGTAAATTTATATGGGAAATATCATCGATCATCATTTCCCAGCCAACTGGACGCCGTTTTTTTCTCGATCATACCGTATAAGGTACATAGTGCAAGAAATTAAACTAAAATTGTAACACAAAAGAAATAAAAGCAAATGTGAGTTGAATAACTGGTTTTATAAGGTTCCTGTTATAATATTAATGAATTAAGATATGCGAATTAAAAATGAAATAAATAGTTTGATTTAAAAAGTTTTATTTATTTTTTACCTACTTTAGAGCTTTATTAAAAACTAGTTGAAGCCTGGCGCATCCGCCACGAGATCAGGAATAAAAATACTTTTTTTTTTTAATTAAATGAAAAACAAAAAATCCGGCGACGACAGTTTTTAGAAGAGCCGTTTAGCTATCTTTTAGTAAAAAAGCAACTTTCTAGAGCAAGTCGTTACTTCAGTAGAGACGACACAGATAAACATTAGCATTTTATAAAATATATAGTAATGGTTTATAATTGAAAGGATTTAAATAAAATAATTTATAAATTACTGTTTGATCACTATTATCCTAACTTAATGCATTCTCTTCGTTCTGATGCTCTAACAGAACAGAAACTCTCTTTATTTTGTAACAGTCCTTATAAAGTCCGGCACTAGCAACAATAGTTTTTTGCACCATTTCAATGTGTTTATTGGTGTTTATACCCCATACGTTCTAAAATAATTATAGCCTACATACTTAGAATAGGTAAGTCTTTTCCAAATAATCTAAAATCGAATTTATTGGAATAAACGAAATCTTCAATAATAACAATGTCTTGGTTATGTTAAGCAATTTTGTCAAATATCTAATAAAATCAATATCTGCTCATGCCTTTGCTCATGCGTCAAATTTTTATCCGACAAATAAAGCACTATTTGGCAGTTCGGGCGCCAGATAGGATATCTGGGAGATAAGATTAATTTATCTAGTAGATACTGTTATCTATAGGTGAGAATACGCGTTTTTCTGCTATCCGTCAAATAAAATATATCTGGCAGATTATAACACGCTATCCGTACCTGAAAACACCTGGGGTAAGTATGATTTTAGAGCTTTGCGAAATGCGGGAAAGAATGAAAGTGACTTGATATTCAAAGGCAAATGATTGTACATTTTCTTGGCATTGTACAGAATTAAGCCCTTAACCAGTTCTGAGCTCGGGGTTGGCAGATAAATATCGAGCTCCGCATTCCTAAGTGGATAGTTGTGAGGAGGCTTTTCCGCGCCTCATATGCGCTTGCGGATTAAGCAAACAGATTCAAAAATGAATAAGGAAGGAAGACTCAGTATTTTGAAATTTTTAAAGAAATTCTGGCAAGGAGTTCTACTGTTCAGTCCCAATAAGTATCGAACTGCTCTCTTTTGAAGTTTCAAAATAGGATCAAATTTTGTCGCGCAGCAAGTTTTGTTCTATTGGAGAATAACTTTAAGATCTCATTATATTTTTTCTTTCAATTTGGAATAAAAATATAATAACTAGTAGCAGTAATTCTTTTTTTATTTAAAAATAATACATCTAATTAAAAATAGTTCATAACTTATCATATTACGATAGTTATTTTGTAAAATAAAATCTCTCTAAATACCCAAGTAGCATCTATCTGACTTCGAACTAAATCTGACCTGAAGCGACGTCAGACTTTGTGCAAATTTAGGTCGGGTGCTGGTGATACGACCTGTGACGTCGCTTTCCTATTAAAAGCGACGTCGTTGGATCTGAGTCGGTAAATCCAACGATCTGTCGACGTACAAAATAACAACGTACCATTTTTATTAATTTCCCAACGTCGTACCCACGTTGGATTGCACGACGTACATATACTTGAACTAGCCCGACGTCTACCCGTTGTCCGAATAGGATACGTCTCACTGATAATCCCTAAAGTAACGTCCAATTATATTTTGTTGTATTTTATGTTCATATTTATAACCTAATTTACGTATCTCTATTTACGTCCGTAAATACAACCCATTAAGTAGCATTTGCGACCTAATGAACATCATAAACATAACCTAATAAAAAGTTTTTATAAACAAACTTATGCCTAAAAAAACACTAAAAAGGCATTTAGACATTCATCTACATTTTACAGAAAGAGGTCGAGGCTTTTGCAAAATAATAATAGTAGTAGTGATGTCTTGCCTCCACCCATAAAAGATTTTTATCCGGAAGAGATGCTGCATTACACTGGTGCATCTTAATTTCATTTTTTAGCTTAGGAAACCAGCAGACCCCATCCTCCTCCGACATGTGAGGTTAGGCTTAAAAAAGTGGCTGCCCAAAGTGTGATAGTTGCACAAATCCACAAATCACTGATACGCAAAGTGAGGTTACGTGGCGTGCGTTGGAATTATATACGTCATAATACGATTGCCGGTCGTCCGGTTTGATGACTTTGGTCGTGTGAGACGACTAATGTTGGAGACCCGGTCGGAATTGGTATATTGGTAGTTCATATTGAGTCGGACACAGAAATCCGCCATTCTTAACACGTATCCGACGACACAGATAAACATTAGCATTTTATAAAATATATAGTAATGGTTTATAATTGAAAGGATTTAAATAAAATAATTTATAAATTACTCTTTGATCACTATTATCCTAACTTAATGCATTCTCTTCGTTCTGATGCTCTAACAGAACAGAAACTCTCTTTATTTTGTAACAGTCCTTATAAAGTCCGGCACTAGCAACAATAGTTTTTGCACCATTTCAATGTGTTTATTGGTGTTTATACCCCATACGTTCTAAAATAATTATAGCCTACATACTTAGAATAGGTAAGTCTTTTCCAAATAATCTAAAATCGAATTTATTGGAATAAACAAAATCTTCAATAATAACAATGTCTTGGTTATGTTAAGCAATTTTGTCAAATATCTAATAAAATCAATATCTGCTCATGCCTTTGCTCATGCGTCAAATTTTTATCCGACAAATAAAGCACTATTTGGCAGTTCGGGCGCCAGATAGGATATCTGGGAGATAAGATTAATTTATCTAGTAGATACTGTTATCTATAGGCTAAAAAAACACTAAAAAGGCATTTAGACATTCATCTACATTTTACAGAAAGAGGTCGAGGCTTTTGCAAAATAATAATAGTAGTAGTGATGTCTTGCCTCCACCCACGAATGCTTTTTTATCCGGAAGAGATGCTGCATTACACTGGTGCATCTTAATTTCATTTTTTAGCTTAGGAAACCAGCAGACCCCATCCTCCTCCGACATGTGAGGTTAGGCTTAAAAAAGTGGCTGCCCATTTTTTAAGGAGAAAACAAGAACTAAAATATAGTTGCACATATCCACAAATTACTGATACGCAAAGTGAGGTAACGTGGCGTACGTTGGAGTTATATACGTCATAATACGATTGCCGGTCGTCCGGTTTGATGACTTCGGTCGTGTGAGACGACTAATGTTGGAGACCCGGTCGGAATTGGTATTTGGTAGTTCATATTAAGTCGGACACAGAAATCCGCCATTCTTAACACATATCCGATTGTCATCCATTTTAAAATCGTTTTTTGTTTTTAAAATTTATATTCACATTTCGATTTCTAGTAGAATAATATTGATAAGGTTGAGTTTGGGGGGAACCACAGTACAGTTTTATGATTAAACCAGCTAGAAAATTAAAAAAATATTTTGCGAGTAACTTTTTTATAGATATTTTTATTTCATAAATCTACCTAATTTTGAAGGCGCTCGTTGTTTTCCGGAGTATTTTAATCAGATATATCAAAAAAGTGACTTCCGTTGACAAAACTGATGTCTGGATTAATGATTCAGAATTATCATAATATGAAATTAGATAGGCACTTATAGTTATATTCGAGAAGTGATTATGAATCCATTTGTAATTAGGTAGTTTGGTTAGATTTTTATGTATTCTTGGTAGCGAATATGAAACCAAACGTAACGTAAGTGCTTAGCGACAAATTAAAAGTGACTAAAATCCAACGTAATATGACGTTGGTAATTGGTAGAATTACATTCCCTATTAGGTCAGATACCGACGTCGAGGCGACCCGAATCTGTATTCCCCATTTAGGTGCAAATAAGGGTCGTCAGGCGGTCGAACCGACGTTGGTACCCGACGTCGGGTTTATTGAACGCGACGTATACCCGACGTTAGATAACGTCCAAATGCTACTTGGGTACCCTTAAGTATGTATGGTATAAATAAATAATTTTATATCATATATATAATCATAAAAAATAATAAAAACTTCATAAATAATTAACTAATATAAACAAATTTGTTTATATAAGTATATTTGTTTTTAAATGCTATGCATAAATATCAGTAAATCGTTACTGCAAATACTGTTTCCCATAAGAATTGATTTCTTTGTAAAATGTATTTCTGATTTGAAAGAAAAATTGTATAGGTGTAAGCAAAAAACTAAAAATGCTAATGACGAAAAATATCTGAAAAAAATATAAAAAAATGAAATGTATAATTGAATCCAGAAATGAAAATATAATAGCATAGAGAGTGGATCTTGATATATATTTTAAACTATTGAAAAAATGAAAATAGCGGTTAAATTATCTCGAACGCTTATGAAAAAATGAAGAACTATAAAAGATTTATTTAGTTTGAAATAAATATAAAATCTGCATCAGAAAAATAAATATTTTTATATACTAATAATACTAAATGTAATATCTTAAATGAAATAACCGTTTACTCACCTTCCTATATAGTCGTCTCTCGTTCTATCTTTGTCCCACACAGTCATTTCTAATTGTTGGTCTCCGTCATCGTATAAATGTAAATCGAACTGCTCCAACCATCTGGGATTTAACGATCTCCATATCGTTCGACTTTTATATTTTTCATGTCCTAATCTGCAAACGTATAAACCAACAATATATCTAGAGAATTAAATAAACAAACTAGTAGACAGAAAAGACATTGTAATAAATAATTCATTAATACCGGAAATAGTAGAAGAATAGATATGTATTTCGGACAACTAATACACAGCTCAGAGAAGAATTAAGATAGCATGGAGCACATATGAAAAAAACTCAATCACATTAAAATTTAGAATGTCATTTTACCTAAAATATAAAATATTCGACCAATATGTGCTACCACCAGTCATGACCTATACATGCGAAACCTGGACATTTAAAACGGAAATTATAAGCAAACTGCAGGTCGCACAACGCTCAATGGAACGAAATATGCTGGGAATAACCAAAAAAGACCGTAAAAGAACGGAGTGGATACGACAAAAGACCCAGGTAATAGATGCCATCTACACTTTGAATAAGAAGACTAAGGAAGGAGCATAATGCTATCCATGTATTCATGCATGGTGGGCGGAAAAGCCACCATAAAAGCTCTCTGGGGTGGGGATCCTTGACAGTTCTGTTTGACGATTCATTTGACACATTTGAATTTGATTTGAAATTTTGAGGATTTGTCAGTCTTTACGGAGCTTATTTTATGTTATTTATTATTTATTCTACTACTGATAGTTGTATAAAGGTAGTAAATCTAGATGGAAATTGTGGAAGAACTTAAATTAACAGTGACACTATCGCGATTTATCGAAAAAGACTCTAAAATAGTTGGTTGTGTAGCGTGCGGTAGATCTCGGCAAAAATTGAGTGAAATAATGGAACAAATTTTCGCTAGTAAGTGACTATATAATATACATACGTGTAAATAAAACCAATCATTTATGAAATTCACTTAAATTAACTAAATTATATATTTTTCTTGCATTTTAGCTTTTATTTATTACTTGTCAAAGATTAGATGTCAAATAATTTAAATACGTTAATTTGACTTACCTGCTTCAGTAGCGTATCGGATGTTTGTGATAATAAATACTTATTATAACTTATCTATTTTTATTAGAATTATATATTTTTATAACAATTTTAATAACTACCAACATTTATTCACAACGTAAAATAAAACAACAAATTATTGAGTCTACCCCACGTCTACCCTACATCATAGTTTTACATTTTTTAAATAAAATTAGAACGACACTGATAAACCGGAATTTAAGTCGGCCATATTTGAGGCCCATCGCGGTGTACCTAAGATTTTTGATATGCTCCTTCCTTAGTCTTCTTATTCAAAGCATCTACATAATCAAATCCCTCAAGTGGCAATGGGCCAATATGTCACCAGTTAGTTCTCCGACTAACAATTGGCCCAATTACAATGAGAATATCTAAATATATACCATAATTAGATATGGTTGAATAAGCTGAAAATGATGACAATGATGAAATAATAACAAATTCAGTTAGTCAGCTTCTGTTAAAAAGTCAACTAGAAGTTAAAATTACTAAAATACAGATAGAGTGAATTTACTAAGAGAAGAAAAGTAGTAAATATAACGGTCTTTTTGCGTCCAATAAGAATTTTATTTTTGTATGAAGATGAACTAAAAGTAAAAATAGTTAAGTGTCGATAAAGAAGCACTATATTTTCTATTAGATACTCAAAGTTCAATTTAGAAATGGATTATGTTTCATACGAGTTGCTTTTAAAGCTTCTAGTGCATTTCTTGAACAATAGGTAATATAAAGAGTATTTTCTATAGTTAGTTATAGTTTCTCTAGTCTACAAAAATATATACAAGGTGTTTCAGAAAACATGTGCATCTCTCGTGGGGGGATTCCTCACGTAAAAATAAGATTTATTTTTCATGTCAACATAGGTCCGATTCTGCTTTGTTTCATAGTTACAGGGTGGTAAAATCTTAATATGTTTTCGATTTATTATAATTTTCTTCTAAGTACTGTTAGAGTTTCGGTTCAAATTTTGAGGGTAAAAGTTACTACAAATGCGCCATATTTTAAAGCTAAAAAAGCAGACTTTAACACCCTGTAGCTACGAAACAAAGCAGAATCGGACCCATGTTGATATGAAAAATAAATCTTATTTTTACGTGAGAAATCACCCCACGAGAGATGGCACATGTTTTTGAAACACCCTGTATATTACATACTCTACTACATGTAAAAGTTGTATTAGACTATTTTGAAGGGGAGTTAATGTTGTACTTTTTCATAGAATTTCGTTTCAGTTGGAATAGGCGTTTAAAAGTTATCTGCAAAAATATATCTTCAAATTAGTAAAATTTATAATACGGCCCAGAGAAAGCAAATACCAGCAAAAATATGACTTTGTCATTGTCAAATTCGATTGTCACATTTTATTTACAGGAATTTGTATGGTTCATAGATAAAGGAAATAAATTTAAATTGGAAAATCCGTCAAAATAAATAATTGTTTTGGGTCGCGACCGTTGTACGCGATCTGGCGCTGACCAGGCTACTAGTAACATAGCAAGTTGCCGGACGAATTTACGTTTACCCGTTTTGCGTTCGTACTCGAGAGTCACTGTCGGCTAGTCGGCTGGTCAGGCAGTACGCAGTTGCAGTTGTGCTTGGACCGGTCGGTCGTGACAGACTAGGAATATGACGCGAGGAGTGCCGTGTATTTATTATTTTCATTTTAAGTGTTTACCTTCACTTAAGGTAACATTTAAAATAAAAATACTTAAATATTTATTATTTGAGTGTGTTTACAAGCCAAAACTAAAAATAAATAAATTCTCGAAACCCAAAAAAAAACTATAATATTACTCTAAATAAAAACAAGTTATAACAAGTGTTCAAAAAGACCACCTTCTTGTGTTTGACAGAAGCCTAGGCGGTCGTCTAAAGTTCTAAAATTCCCGTCTAACATATTAGAGCTAATAGTTTGGAAAGCCTCTCGTATTTTTACTTGAAGCTCATCCAGATTATTAGCCCTATTATGACCATACATTTTGGATTTTACATAACCCCACAAAAAAAATCATTTGGAGAAAGATCTGGTGATCTAGCGGGCCACAAAATAGTTCAATGTCCACTAATTAAACGGTTGGGAGAAGTATTGTTCAAATATTCTTGAACAATACGGGCATTGTGCAGGGCAACCACCTGAGCAATTTGATTACATGTACTTGAAAACGTGGGATTTTGATCCGCGGTAGCACAAACGAACACTTGCTTTAACTCCTGTTCTTCATTAATCAACACATCAGGCTTTTTGTGTTTTTGTGGGGACACGCACCCATGTGTTTCAAAATTATTAATAACTCTTGATATAGTAGATAAAGATGGAATTGGCCGGTTTACAAAAGTTTGTGGAAAAATTGTTTGTATATCCCGATAAGACCTATTTTGGGGTCTGGTACCTTTTAGGTACATCAAAACTTTAAAATTTTCTATACAGAATTGAGAAGAGGAACACTTATAATGACATTTTCTAACAAAAAAAGTGCGGATCGTCCATAAATAACACCAATAACACCAAAAACAAACCCCCCAAAAAGAATGTTGTAACCAATGCAATCAAAACTCAGTTACGGCCGACGTTTTTACCATTGTGATCCTTTTCTCAACTTTTAACACAGATCAAAATATAATATCTATTCTTATCAACCTAATATCGCTACCCCTATTTTTCAAAATTAATAAGAAAGTATAAATAAAACAAAATCCGGATTTTCAACATTTCGTTACCGCCAGCGATACAAGGCGATATGCGCAGACGCGAGCAAAAGATAAACTAATTCTATGTCTCTTTTGCCACTCTTATTAAACTTAATAGAGAAAACTTATATATAATAGAGAAAATAATACAACCAGTAAAACATAAGTAAAACACATTCTCTCTCATCTGTCATAATTATCGCATACATTGACAACTTATCGTAAATTTAACCTAAAAATAATAATTTTAAGTATCAATAGTGAAGTGATCTCAAACATTTAGCCGACGATCCGTACTTAAAACGTTAAAATATTAATTGTAGAACATATTAATATCAAATTTACATCAATAACTTCAAGATTGACGATATACCTAAAAGGTACCAGAGCCCTATTTTGGAAATAACATTTTACAATTTGAATTTTCTCACGAACTTCATAAACATCCATTATTTTACTTAAAAAATAAATTTTACACGAGAACTGTCGCGAGAATCTACGTATTCGTTTTGGCTATTAAAACACAAATAAATACAAATTCTTAAACATTCTTATCACATATCGACCAATTTTCTCTTGTCAAAGTCAGAATCTTCAAAAATTATAAAATCTTTTAAAATTTAAACCGCCTAAAAAATACCGAAAAGTGTTTAAAACGTCCATTTTCAAAGTAATTATTGCTATATTGTGAGTTTAATTTAAATTTTACTTACTCAAACCCGTGATAATTGTGAAAAAGTGGAATTAAAAACTAAAAAACTGTGTTGTGAACTGTGAACTGCAAAAACCATCGTGGATCGTGGCATAACGTTGGTTTCCAATGTTTCATAGGTATTTCACATACGTGTCCTTATATAAAATAAAGTTTTTTGTATGCAACACACTGTATTTTATTTGTAAAATTAAAAGAAAATAATAATAAATATCAATAAATAATATTTAGCGACATAATTCCGGAAAAAGCCGAACCGATCCAAAATTTCCAAAAGCTTTGAGTCGCGACCGTTAATTACCCAAGAATAACGCCAAATAGTGTTTACATTGTCCTTATGGGCACTTTCCAATCTAAACTTGTTTCGTTTATCTATGGTAGACTATTCGCCAAAAATTACAGAAAACTTGATAATCAAAAACAGAATGACTGTCAAAGTTGTTATTAAGTTGATAGAATTGATCAGGAATTGACGGACAAAGTCATGTCAATTTTGTCGATATGAAGAGGAAACGACAGAATACATTTTATGTCATTGATAGGTCATTATACATACAGCTTGGCAAATGTGAGCTTGTTTGTATTAGGCAATGAAAAGTCATTGACATGAAGTTATATGGAGGGTTCGATCTATAAGTTGTTAGACATTTTGAAAGTGATAGGAGTGGGGAATATAACCTAGAAATCAGAAGGGGACAACAGTAGATTTGAAAAGGTCGCAGTGGAACAGGCCAATAGCCACATGAAAAAATTTAATCTAAACCTAGGTAATCTAATACACTGATAAGGAATTCAGTTATGATTGTAATTAGCACATTGTATAATTACCTAAACTTAACGTATGGGTCGGAAGTACCCGTTTCGGGATCACAGGCAAGAAGGTTTCTTCCTTCGATTAAAACTATGGTAACTACGGAACTCCAAATTTGCGACTTAAGTCTTTTGTTTACGTCTTGACTTTTGGTATTTTTTTGGAAGTACTGAAATAAAAAAAAACTACCTTAAATAATATGCAGCATTAAAAAAATGTAAATAACTTTTTCACTAACCAAAATAAATTGTAAAACTAAATGACTTGTAATTAAAATACTATATAAGAATTAAGATAATTAAAGGGAATTACAGTAAAAAATACTTACAATTTCTTTATCCTCTTGTGTCTTAGGTAATAGTGTAACTGTAATATAAATATTTCCTAAACAAGTCTCTGGTCTAGAGGGATCTTGTAAGGGCAAGACTAGTTCGTTGCTTCGTCCTAAATCTAAACTAACTAAATCTAATACGGCTGAACCCATAAAGTCATCCTAGAAAACAAACAAAAATTAAGAACAAATACTAAAAACAGAATTAAATAAATGTTTATAAATAAAAAAGTACTTTCACTAAACATTATCTTTTAAGTAAGAATTTTACATAGAATCTTTCAAGTCCTCAGTGGCCGCGTGGTTAAAGAGTTAGGACTTTACGCTGCTATGACGTTGGAACCGTAGGTTCGAATCCTAGTCAAGGCGACTTTTTTTAATCGTTTTTTTTTAAATTTTTACACATTTTTATATATTTATTTTTACTTTTTACATATTTATTATTGATTAATTTATTATTGATTAATATTGCTAAATGAGCTAAATGAGCTAAATGAGCAATCCCAGAAAATTGGCCTTAAAATGAACTTGAAGAAGACCAAGATAATGAGCAACAATATCCATAACATTACCGTGGACAACGTTATTATTGAAAAAGTAGACCATTATATATATTTAGGTCATAAAATCAAGCTGGGCAAGAAAAACCAAAATACGGAGATCAAACGCAGGATCCATTTGGCATGGGTAGCATTTGGAAATATGAGCGATATTTTCAAGGATAAAAAGTGCCCATGAACCTAAAGAAAAAGGCTTACGACAGCTGCATTCTACCTGTGCTTACGTATGGCTTTGAGACTATGGCAATTACTCGAAAAACAGCAGAACAACTACGAGTAGCACAAAGAGCCATGGAAAGAATCATGTTGGGAGTCACCATTAGGGAAAAAATACGGAATACCCACATACGTCAAAAAACAAAATTAATAGATGTCGTTAAAAGAGTGGCAAGTCTGAAGTGGCAATGGATAGCGTGCAAGACAGGATCCAGACCGATGGCCCCAAAAAGTAATCCTATGGAGACCTAGGGGAACAACAAGAAGTGTGGGCTGACCAAAAAAGAGATGGGTCGATGACGTCAGGGCAGTGGCGGGAAGACAATGGATAAGATTGGCTAGAGATCGCGAAGCATAGAAAAACCTAGAAGAGGCCTATATCCAACACTGGATGGAACCAGGCTGAGAAAGAAGAAGAAGATTATTATTGATTAATACAATTTTTAATAATGTGTTTCTTCATTTTTTTTTAAATTACTTATACGCGCATTCAAAATTTCAGCTAAATCGGAAAAAAAGTTAAGACATATAGTCTAATATTGTATGGATAATAAATGGTAGGGAACACTTCGTGCGCGAGTCCGACTCACACTTGACCAATTTTTTCTTTGTTTGGTTTGGTGGCTTTTTTCTATTTTACCCCTTTTTATTTAAAAATCATTCATTTCGTTTTCTTCACTTTTTTTTATTTTAAAAAAAGTTAAAAATTTCTTTGAGGAAAATGGACGCCTTCTTTAAATTTGATTCTTTTTAGCTCAAACCACTTATAACTGCATATATCCTTTCCAAACACAAAAATTTCTCTCTCCTAAAAATGAATTATTTTCTTATTTCTGACTTTAGAAAAACTGAAATCAATTACATAAAAACACGTCCCTGCTTTACAATTCAAACATTTTTTTAAACATAAACACACAAAAGTCTTCTTGCGGAGATACATTATGTAATTTTTATCCTGTATTTTTTTTACAAAATAATACACGTTTCTGTTTGACATGCTGAAAGTTCTTCTAAACATAAACACGCTAGAAAATCTTTGAAGAAATGCATCGTTTTCATTTTTGAAGAGATTAACGTAAAATAAAGTTTAGGAAAATATTAATAAAAATGTAGGGAATCACAACAAAAAAGGTTACAAAAAGTTTTTTAAAGTATTTAGATTCCGTGGTTTTAATAATGATGAAAATTTAAAGAAATAAATTATTTTATTTTACAAAACAAATTAATATTTTTATCAACTGTGTAGCGTTTTTTAAACAACCACCACTGCGAACGGCAGCTTTTCATCGGAGAGCAGTCGTGGATAAGGTATTTCACTGGAAAGAAAACTAATTAATAACAATAAACAAAAAAATAGATATTGGGCGCCAGGCATGTACAGAGAAAGAAAAACACAGTTGTATATTACTTAAAACTAATGACTATATTCATTCATGATGTTCGTTGCTGATACATGACATTGTAGAGTTCTAGTGAATATGTAGTGGTTATATGTCAAAGAAAGTGGTGGTAAGAGTTGTACTAAATATCTATGAAAACAACTATGATAAAATACAAGACATGTAAAGTTTAAGAGAATATATGAAATGTAGCATTACTTTAATTAATTTGATATATTTTATATGATGTTAGTGCAATAATAATATCTATAAAAAAGTAATACTATTACAAGACATAATGCAATGAAACCTAAGATCTAAATTATATTTTAACTACTAAATCGACATGAATGTTCTTAACAATCTAACCACTCAACATAGTCTATACGATATTATTTAAGATGTACGTTATTGTTTAAGACTGTAAATGTTTTGAATGTTAAATGCAAAACTATAACTTAAATCTACACTTAGCTGTTCTTTATGCAATCCTGCTTTAAACAGTAACAGCGTGAGGTGGTCTCGCATCTCTGTATCAGCCATCCAACACAACCAAAGGGGCCAGAATGAGGACACCATGACTTGATACACCCGTAACTAACTAGCTTATAGCTGGGAACGAAGCAGCATGGGACTCAAGCTACCTCCACGCTGTGGCACTTATATGTAGGAAAAAAATCATTCTTACTGGGGACACTCGTCCACAGGACATCTGTACATAAGATAATGTCTGTACATAAGACACTATCCGTACCTTGGACACAGTCCGTACCTTGGACACAGTCCGTACCTTGGACACAGTCCGTACCTTGGACACAGTCCGTACCTTGGAAATAGTCCGTACCTTGGACACAGTCCGTACCTTGGACACAGTCCGTACCTTGGAAATAGTCCGTACCTTGGACACAGTCCGTACCTTGGACACAGTCCGTACCTTGGAAATAGTCCGTACCTTGGACACAGTCCGTATCTTGGACCCTAAAAATATGAAACTCTTGTTTAAAACCAAACAAGGTCTAATAAACAAAATAAACCTACCTCGAAATACTTCCGAGGGCTCAATAAATAATAAACATGTCCTTTCTTCCATGTGACATTCTGGAGGACAAAAGAAAAGGGACGCCAACGTGTCAGCAAAACACAAATACAAGTTGGGACATCCGTAACTCTACCCTAAAAATATTCAATAATAATATCGAATCTAAAAGGATAATATCTCATCTTTACCTGTTGCTTTGAAATAGCAGCTGATTCAGATTATACAGCAAGATTTAATAATCACCATTTCTAAAAGCTGCCAGGATAAAACAGAGCGTCAAAACAAATTGAGGCTAAGCACGGAGGATTGACAGAAGCGATGTTGACAGCGCGCGCCTTCACAGAATAGTAACAGGGTTGTGTCGAACGATCACAGGGTTGGCGACCAGGGAACGTAAAAATTACGCGTCAAATAATCTATCCGGCCTGAACGAGAGGGAATCCGGTGATGATAGGCCAGACATCATATATCATATATAAAAAAGACATGTAACGCACTAAAAACGTTACAACTGACTAAATAAATTTTGATATTTTCTCATTGACAGTATGAGCGGATGACAAGAAGCAAGACGTCAATTTTATGAAAGGCAAAGTTCGTATAGTTCGACATACAGAAAATAAAATATTTTGATGCTAGTGTTATTCTTATTAGTAAGCGCCGTTTTATTCAAACATTTCATTTTATATTCATAGTCTTATATTTCTTCTATATTGAAATGCTCAATGTCAGTTTCCTGCCTTTCAGCATCAATATTAAGATTAAACCAAGAAAGAAAAACTATAAGCTAGTATACTACTATTCAATAAAAATAAAGCTAAGTGACTGTAATATAATTGTTAATTTTTATTATGTTATGTTTGTTTGCTATACTACTTTTTATTCATACCGCCAGTCATTTTTATGTAGTTTTAATATGCACTATTAAAATAAATTTATATAATGATTGCTAATTAATTTTAATACTAATAACAGCATCAAAACTAGAAATTGAAGCTAATTTGTAACAATAATTTCATAATAAACATTACTCCCCTTGGAAAATTTCTTAACATTGATCATTTTCTTGTTAAAATGATTTATTTTATAATTATTACAGAATTTTTATTTAAACTTTTAGAGCATTTAATTTTAATAATCAAAATATTAAATGTTTTATACATCTTAAAAATACTAGAAAATTCTGGGCGTTTAAGTAATTATTTTATTAAAAAATATGTTTTCAATAAGAAATATTAAACTTTATTTCTATTTCATTAAACTTAATTTCTATATCAAAAACGTAAAAAATAGTTCCTGTTTATATTTTTTGAAATGATCTTAGGTGTAATTGATAATGAATTTTTATGTATTTTTACAGCATTTACTTTTCATAATTAAAATATTAAACAGCTTATACATCTTAATAATATTGGAAAACACTGCGGCGATATAAGTCAATTAAGTTAATGATTATTTTATTAAAAAATACGTTTTTATATTAAATTATTATTAAAATGTCACTTAGTTAATAGTAATTACATATAAATTATTTTTAGTAATATTAATATCTTTTTTCATTTGTGTTATATAATAAAACAATTATATTAAATTATCTGCGGTTCGTACATTTTAGTTATTTTAATTAATTATAATTAATTAAGGACATTGTTTTATTCTATAACACAAATGAAAAATGAAATTAATAATTATTTAGCGACCGGTAATTACTGAAGTAAACCTAAATTATACTTCAAAGGAAATAGAGAGTATAGATTAAGTTTTTTTAATTTAAATAATTTTAATGATTTAAGTCATTTTTCGACAGCTGACTTAAGACTTAAAATTTAAGTAAAACTTATATTAGTGTTTCCATAAAACTGTGAACACTATTCCAATTTTCTGGAGATCGAATCATCTCTGGAATTAGATCGGAAATCTTAATTTTTAAGGCTCTTAGTTTTTTGTATAGAACCCTACGTTCAGCTGTCCATCGGGGTATGCTCCACCGTATCAGCATCGGAGTAGCCATAGAGACATCTCGGGTTATCAACTAACTTTATTTTATGTAGGTAATACCTGAAACAACCGTGGCCAGAAGACTCATGGCATAACTCATTTCTCCATATTCTCTAGCCAACACCCTAGATCCTTTATAAGTGTTCTAGTCCATTTACCTTTCCCATTTCTGTTTTCACTCCATCTTTTACACCATTTTTCCAAAACTCTATTTCTACTTTCTTCCTGAATGTTCTTGCATTTCCATTCTTTCTTGACTATGTCTGGCTATGTCTATTGGGGCCATTGAGCTCAAAACTTGTGCAGCCTCCGCAGATATTGTCCTGTATCCACGACATACCCTTATGGTCAATCTTCGTTGTACTGCAAGAAGTTTCTCTCTATGACTCCGAATTTTGCAGGTTTCTCCCCAAATATCGGATCCATACAGAATTGTAGATGCTTGTACAGCAGCTAGCACTCGGCGTTTCGTTTGACCCAAGGTAGACCAGTTTGGCCTAATTCTGGATAACATGGCGCCCTGTTTTTCTGCTTTCAAAACTGTATGTCGGATATGCTCAGAAAAGCCTCCTCCCACTTGAAAAACAATCCCCAAATATTTTATTGTTTTCTTTGGTACAATTATATTTTGTTTCACATGAAAACGTACACTTCGTGATGTACGTTGTAGGTGTCCAAATATAAAAAAAATTGCGACACCTACAACGTACATCACATATACTATACAATATTAATGCTATACGTTGTCCAATGACAAGGCCAGCAATGGATTTTTTTTAAATAGTTGTCATATTGTGGAAAATTATATTCTTGGATTGCAACAAAGAAAGCATAAGAATAAAAGCATAAGAAAGATAGTTACCTGCAAGCCCCAATCGTAATCGAACACCTTAATGGATATGGGAAGAAAGGGGTCTTCGATAGGCACTGTAAAGCTCTCGTCCCACACGGGATTCAGGTCCCTGTATATCGTCCTTGATTTGTAAATTAACCGGCCTCCTATTTTGAATTTGACGTAGGGATCGCTCAGACCTGGAACAGAATGGAATAGTTATACGGACAGGAGTCAACTTGGGTTTATATCAAATTGGGAAAAAACATGTAAAATATAATTCTAGTAAACCAATTTGATGTAGGCCCAGGAAATCGGTTACCTGCATGCCATCGACCCAGATATGTTATTAAATAACGTTAATAAATAAACAATTAAAATACAACAATCTCCGGTCGATAATCAAACGCAGGTCACCGAAGTTCGGTTTCTTCATGGTCATAGCCGGGTGAATGTAATTAGATGGAACACTATTGAACGACGTAACCAACGATGACCACGAGGGATATAGAATATAAAGAGTATGCTGAAGAGAGCGCGGGGAGTCGCATGAGGTCAGTCAGTTAGTTGCGATCAGATCAGTTAGTCAGTTCAATGGTCAGTCACAGTTGACAGTCAGTTAATCAGTAACTAGTAAATCGGTAGAAGACAGCGAAGACGTTGAAGATGTTCCTGTAAGTACTCATTTGAGCATACCCTTACATCTTGGCATTTCCTGAAGTTTTTCTTCTGATATTTTTATCCACGCTGTAAGCTTTTGTTTAATAAATGTGTTCTTTTGTAATGGTTGTTTTGATTGAAAGAGAAGAGGTGAATCGGTAGAAGACAGCGAAGACGTTGAAGATGTTCCTGTAAGTACTCATTTGAGCATACCCTTACGTCTTGGCATTTCCTGAAGTTTTTCTTCTGATATTTTTATCCACGCTGTAAGCTTTTGTTTAATAAATGTGTTCTTTTGTAATGGTTGTTTTGATTGAAAGAGAAGACCTGATATAAGCGACTCTACTTAACAACCCCCAGCTAAGTACCAACAGGTATGGTAGGCTATTAAAATCGGCAAAAAAAGTTTTTTTTTTAAATTTTACCCAAAATGAGTTATTTGGGTCATAAATGACCTAAATTCAAAATATTTTCATGGTGTCTGTCTGTCTGTCTGTCCGTCTGTAACACGATAACTCAAAAACCGCTAAACCGATTTTAACCAAATTTGGCACAAAAATATTGTGGCACCCGAGTATCTGACCATTAGTTTTTGGTGGGGGTGGGGGTTGAAAATGGGGTTAAAAATTTTAAAAAATCGAAACTCCAAAATTACAGTAGCTAGCGAAACGCGGTTTTCAATTTAAGGATAGGAATAATATTTGCAACAAAATTTGTAATAACATCAAAATCAATCAAAGTCGCAGTTTTTGAAATATTCCGTGTTTCCGTAGTCCGTTGGGACGCGACCCCAGGTAGCGGATAGGGGAAATAACCGCGGACCAAAATTGGAAAAATTCCTTTACTTTGAAACTAAAAGAACTATCTACTAACTTTTTATTAACATATTTTAGTATGGGTGGCTATACGTGCCTCCCGGCGCCAATTTTTTCTAATATTATTTAAATCTATTTCATAGTAAATATTTTTGTATAGGAAATAGTATTTATTAAATCAATTCCAATAAATATTTCCTCATCGTTAAGATAGATATAGCTAACTTTTAGCTTTAGGTACACTCTGCAATAATAACTAGATTGTGTATCACATTAGACCATAATGGACATCGCTTAATTCCTGGCTGCAGTCCAACTGCAAATCGTTAATTTAAAGTGCTGTGCGTCGATTTTTTATTGGGGTACTTGGGATAGTAACAAACTGTTCGAATTAACTTTAATTGATGCTACCAAAATATGGCAAAATATCGTCAAATTTCTATAACTACTTTTAATTATTGTTTAAAACTAAAATTTTTACCAAAACTCTTATCATCAAATTATGAAAAAAATATTCAGTAAAATATCTGCTTAAACAGAAAGTCCTCTTGTTTCTATTGAGAATAATTGACAATAATGAAAAAATAGAGAATTAAAAAAATATAGAGAAATGTTCTGCTACTACATTTTCCGCAAGTTCTGTTGAATATATTTTGAACAAACTTTTACGAATTTCTGCACAGTTATAAGCTTGCTAAGATATCAAAATATCCCGTATAAGTTAGTATAGAATATGGAAGAAATTCAATCATATTCAAATCCAGAAGGCTGTACTTTAACTGCCGTTAAACGGTAGCTTACTAAAATGCCGTTAATAGGTATGACGTCGTTGATGTGACGCAATTGACGGCTTTATAAGATATAGAAATTTTATAAGGACTAATCAACGCTATCCACCCCACCAAATAACCAACTTAATCAACGAGACTGATAAAAAATATAAAAAACAAATATAAATTAGTAAAAATCAACCAACCCCACCAAATAACCAATGAATTAACACCCTCCAAATAACCACGCTAACCAACCCGCCAAATAACTAAACCAATCCAACCAAAAAGAGTGAAACCAATGCAATAAGATCACGCTATAAGGAAAAAAAATATAAAAAAGCCTTGGTATTGGTGACATTATGAGGAAACTGCAGGTCGCACAACGCTCAATGGAACTAAATAATGATATGGTCGGAATAACCAAGAAAGACCGTAAAAGAATAGAGCAAATACGACAAAAGACCCGTATAATAGATGTCATCCACAGAATCAAATCCCTCAAATGGCAATGGGCAGGATACCAGACAAGAAGGATGGACAACAGATGGACTAGAAAAATAACAGCATGGTGCCCACATGGTGCCACCTAGAAAAAAATGACTAAATTAAAGGTATTGCTTCCAATTTATTTGACTTAAAATGAAACACGGATAATATAATGTAAGTAAATTGATAATAAAATAAAATTAAGAGGCGTAGAAGAACACAAACCTGAGATGGGATCATGATATTAGGAAATTAGCAGGGATAAATTGTTGAACCCGCAGAGCTAACAATAGACGACAATGGGTCCAACTACAAAGAAAGTATCTAAATATGTGAGGGAGGCTACACCATAATTGGAAATAGTAAAATAAGCTGAAAATGATGATGATGATGATAACTATCACAATAAATTAAAAGATTCCCAAGAATATTAAAGAAACAAAAAAAATCAGCATTATTATTTATTAAAATCTGAAAAAATAAAATAATGAAGCTTTTACTACAGAAGTCGCGAAGATAGACACTTACAAAATCTGTTAAAATAAAAAATCAAGGTAGATCTACTTAATATTCTTAATGCATCACCCTCAAGGTAAAAGCGTAAAAAGAAATAGAAATTAAAAAAGGTGGAACGCATGCTGAAAACAAAAAAACCGAGACAATTAGTCGGGTTCTATCTTTCCGAGACTCCTACCAAGAGGAAAATTTATTGGATAAGCCAGAGAAACTACAAAAGTCGTTTCATTTGTCCAGAAGGAATTAAAAGGAAAACTTTCTAATTACATAAGACAAGCCGTAATTTTATCTGCCCGGTTTGTGTTGAAAGTATTATTTGTAAAACAAGTATGCACAACTTTGTAGGTAGACAGATTATAAACTTTGTTTTTTCTTTATTGTTTTTCGTGGTTCCAATTTTCGGAATCGGGCACTAGTTAGGTTACTAGTTTGCGCACATAGCACGCCCACTTATGGCCTCTAAAATTGTGCACAGCGCCTGACCTGCACAGTTATTAGACAGATATCAGAAAACCGAATAGCGTCATGCAGTATTTACGCGTACCTTATCATGGTTACGATATGCGCGAGTCAATTTTTAACGCAACGCCCGCTAATAACGTTACCACCTGATGTAATTTGCGAATCAATTACACCAAGCGCTATTTCTAAATAACGTTTAAAAATTGCTTAAATAGGCATGTGCGGGTATTTGACAAGCGGGACCGGCCGGCGAGATCTTTTATTTTAGGTTATGTTTGAATTGTTTTGAATTATTACTTTAGTTTTATTAGGTAATTTGATATTTAAGTAGCTGGGATTACCTCTTTCAATATTAAAGAACCTATAAAGAGGCTTAGGTTTACAACAAATGACGACTTAGCCCAAGGTTATTAAAAGGTAAGGTTGTCTCGCAACTTTTGGACCAATAGGAGCGAAACGGAATAGCATCCCTCTGACGTAGATAGAACGTATAAAATCATAGGTAAAAGGAATAGAAAATAAAATGCAACCGACAAAGAGAGATAGATGGACAATACAATAAAGAAAACACACATCAAACAACTGAAAACTATTGACGCCATACCCTATAAACAATAAAGTACACAATGAATATCGATTTGGAAATGCACTGTCGGACTGTGGGCAGTTTTTATCCCTTTATCTGTGAGCGGTATCATTCCTATGACGTAGTAGATGACGTTTTCGATAATGGCGGATGAAGTTACGAGATAACCTTATCTTTTAATAACCTTGGACTTAGCCCTTCTAAGAGAATTTGTTGCTTATTGCCCTAAACCCACTGGCAGACGTTGAACAATAAAGTACTGGAAATAAGCACTTTAGCCCTTTAGTTTTAAAATACCTAGTAAACAAAACAATTTCAAAGTTAGGTTAAGTTTAAATAGCGGACGCGACGCGAACAGAATTCTTTCCGATCCGATAACTATAAATGAAGAGAGTTAATACCACCTTACGTAAAGGAAATAACACCTGGGGCGCTATTCTGTAAAATCGTCGGTATCAGTAAGTTACGACAGCTCTCGATACGTATTTGTATATAGCAAAAATGTGTTAATTGTTGTTGTCATAGTTACCGATCGGTCCTATGGCAGATATCGCAAATTTGTACCGACGAAAATCGGTATCTCTACCGTGCCCTTGTCAACCTCACGGTAGAGATACCGAGAGTCGTCGGTACAAATTTGCGATATCTGTCATAGGGCAAGTATCGGCAAGTTACCGGCAGCTATGGGAGTTTATTTTTGCAGACAGGAAATTTTACTCGTTTGCACATCGTCATAAAAAACAATTTTCGTACAACGAATTAGGGATAAGACTTTTTATCTGTATACATATAATATACCTAATCTGTGGTAGTATCTACCTTACCATTTTCATTTTTTTTACGATAGACAATGAATTGTAATAATTGAAATCATCGATCAAATTTCAATGAAAAAGATCGATAATTTAATATTATGTTGTTTATACAGGGTCGCTGTTATGTATGGAAACGGTCGATTATTAGGTAAAATATAGGAGGTACCGCAAAAAGTTAAATATAAAAGTTATAGGGTTTATAAATATCTATTAGCGAGTAATAAATTCATGTATACAGGGTCGGTCATAAATTCTTGGCACATCAAAGTTTTATTTTTTTTAAATAGAACCCCCTGTATATTATTGCATACTTCAATTCTTCCTTCAATTCTAAGCAAAAATCGAAATCACACAATGTACCTCAAACCAAACGTTTCCGAGTTATTGAAAAAAAAATAAACTAAATATCGACCTCTATCCGTGGAACTGCATTGCTGACAGCCTACCGGCCACGTCGCACAGTGCTTCGAACATGTTGCTCTAGAGGACAAAAATCCAAAACTTCTCTTTTATTGTAAGCAATTTATTCAAACTAGGTTTATTTGACACAAATGATGAGTACTCTCATTGTACTAAATGATGATGTTCTTAGTCCCACGTTTATGAAAAAAAATCTAATAAATAATAAAAATATTGGAGCTGTGTTCCATCTAAGCAAATAATAATTTATAGTATGAAAACGGTGTAAGTATTAAATAAATTCCTGTGATAAAAAAGAATTGAAATAACATTAGAACATGATTCCTACAATATAAGCCTAATACGTAAGATAAGATAAAAATGTTTTTGTTTAATGAAAAAGAAACATTAATGTTATATTTAATTAAAAAAAAAACTTAAGATACTATAAATTTACTTTAGGACAACAAAATGCATAGATCGTAACTACTTTGATTCAGAAGAATTACTGCTGACAGAATCTTCCAAATTTATAGTATCCAAATCAGGTAGATGAAGTATCCTCACATATAAGATATTTCTGTACATCATTTTCTAATATGTTACTTTTTCGCGTTGTTACTGTTCATTTTGTCGCTATGAGGGGTTCGGATGTTAATAGTTACCTCTTTAATAGACCATATCCATATATTATTTTTTCCTTTTCTTGGGTATGAGATTATATAATAAATTGAAAGATGGGCACTTTTTTTATGCGACGTTTCGCTCCAACATAGTGGACTTTTTCAGGCACAAGTGGTGTCTCATTTGACTGGAAGGTTCATCAATATCTAATAAGAACATATTTTTTGAAATACAAATAATTTTGAGTTCTTGTCCTTATGATCAAGCTAAGTATTAGCCAGATCGGCATTGCTAATCAATTTTACTCCATCTGAAAAGTATTATAAAATAAAGTTCGTCGCAAGCAGACGCAGGTGAACTATACAAAAATTAAAAGTGTATGAATATGGCAACAAAAATATTCAATAAATACGATATGTTTTGATATGTTTTTTTTAAATGCCTTTTTGAAGTTTGAAAAAATAAAATTTTTATACCCATTTAAGAATCATCTTAAAAAATAAATAAAAACTAAACAATCACGAACTTGTTTAGAAATAAATTTAAAGTACATACCTTGTTTAACAATATCCATAGTGGTTTTCAATTAAGTACGTACCCGTTTAACTCCATAATATACAGACTACTATGAATGTTATTCTTTTCACTGATGAGATAATGATCGCAAAATTTATTTTTAGTGAAAATATTTGCTAACAAAAACGCTGTTTATGAAAAATAATATACAGGATGGTTGAACATTGCTATAAGTATAAAATTATATATTCAGATATTAGTAAATTTTAACTTATTTTTTGATTTTTGTCCATGGGACGAAGCACTGTGCGTCGCCGTCGTTGTTATGACTGTATAGAATTTGTCAAAAAACTCAACAGATGAGGACTATACCCTGCTGGCAAGCGAAACCTTGGGTCGGCGTTTACATGTATAGGAGTGAATCGCTATGGCAATCTAGTAAGTCGGAGAGAGCAAAAATACGAAGTATTTATTACATAATCACTTAATCTCTAGCGCCAGATTAATTCCATGCGCTTGGGAGAATACTTGCCTCCTGTCTTTATTCAGTACATCTTATTTTACTAAGCGTGTTGACCGTACTCTTCGTACACACGTACACACGAAATGGGCACACAAGATCTGTAATTCCGACCCTAGTATACGTTCAAATTTAGTTTTAGTGCTTTTTTTGTAAAAAGATTTACATATATTATCTGTTAAATGCCGATCATTTTGCTTCTAGCATGAAGCAATCCCTATCCGGCAGTTTTGATGGAAGGCTGTAATAATTGTGTCTCGGCTCTCTTTTATTAGTATGTGAAGTTTGTAATGCTTTGCCTAATAGTCATAAATTTAAACCATATTTTAACCCATCTATCGTATAAAAACATCCCTCCATATTCGTTTTAATTACAAATCAATTAAACCTAGGTCCAACTCACCGTTTTTATCCATGGCTACCAGCCCGTGTCCCCTTCGTAAATACACCCTGAGCTGGAAAAACGAATGCTGCCGGAGCGTGGCCTCCCTCCTTCGCAATACTTCATCGTTCGAACTGAGCTGAAATCAAATTAAAATCCAGAATGAATAATGACGCTCATAGTGTCAGCTATAATCTAAATTTGTCGATGCTGGCAAGTTTTAATTTATGCATTAATTATAACTATAAAGATAAATTTCCGATGTATAACGCAGTACTTTTAATAGAAGTTTGAATATTTATGAAATACAATATACCGTGCTGGCAACTGTTACTTTTGGGTCGGCATTTACATGTGTGGAAGTAAATCGCATAGGGATCTTATTAAGTCGGAGAGAGGGAAATGCGACCGACCGACGCGACGCGCGACGGTGTGCTGTTGCGGCGTTGCCGATACGCCTTTCCCTAGCAAGTAAAGTGAAATCACGATCGCAAACCGCTTATTTTTAAAAGACTTGTTTTTCAAGAGATAACTAGATAAAATTATTAGACATGTTTCTGAGCATCTGAAATGAAATTGTAAGGGTATCGTTAGGGTGTCATTTTTTTATAACGAGAAAACGTCAGTAATCGTGATAATTTAAAAACTCAACTTTTTAACACATAACAGGCCGTAACTCAAGAACCACTTTAGATATTGAAACTTTTTTTTATTTTCAAGATAGGATATTTTACAATATGTTTACATAAGAAAAATTCGATAAGGTTGTTTTTTCCATTCAAAAATTGTAAACAATCCATCCATTTACTTTTAGAGCATAGCAATTTTCAGCAATCGTGTAATTTTTTTATTGGTAAAGATTTTCACATACTGTCTACAAAGAAAATACAGCAGAAATATTAACAAGGTCTTGAAAAAACTACAATCTATTATTTCTAATAGATTTCGAGATATCGATTTTTGAATTCAGAGTTCTAATAGCGCGACCACTATCGAACACCCACTCAATTCCACTTATTTTTACCAAAAATGCAAGTGTTTCTAGCTTGCACTTAAAAAAAATCAATATACATTGAAAATTACAACGACTCGTTAATAAATAAACAAATCAAGTATCACGAGACGTAATTAAATCGTGAAGCTGAACGCCTGACGTATACCTTTCCCTAGAACTCTAAGTACTGACACTGACAGAGGTATTGATTGGGTCGACCGGTCAACTGCGACAAATCTGCTATATCCCCTTCCACGTCTCTTAGCGATGTGCACAGACGTGTTTACTGTCCTCTCTTTGTTCAGTACATTATAAACGTATTGTACTCTTCTTACATACGGAAATCTCGACCCAAGACTAACCTTTGCCAGTCCTTAGTATACACTAACAGATAAAAGTAGAGAAACTTTTTAAAACTTGTCGGATTTCAAAAACCTCCAATATTTAAAATAATGTTTGTTTTAAACATATTTTCCGAGGGGCAAACCGCTGCGAAAAATGGTGTACAATAAATACCAAATTATTTCCAAAAAATACCAAATTAGAACCAAAAATACCAAATTAGTATTATTCTTTTTAGTATCTAAAGAATTTAAGATATTTGGAGCTTTAGGGTCTATTCATGTCAAACTACGATCAGAAAAACATATAAGCTTAATTCGAGTTCCAGAAAAGTACGGTTCGAGAACGGTTTAAAACAATCGCACAGTCTAATTACGAGAATCAATAATGTCAAACGTTGCAAAAAATCATATTGTGCCAGTGTTTTGAACCGTTCTAAAACCGTACTTTTTGGGAACTCGAATAAAACTACTGTCATGACACGTTTTAAAAGTCATTTTAACGGTTCCATTAACATCGATACTTCAAAAATTTATAAAATAAAAACTAGACATAAAAAGTAATTGAATTGTTTGTTATTTGCGCTGTTTGTTACTTATAAGCTCAAAAATATAATTATATGCACAAGAAAAATAAGAAATTCTAACGAGATCCATATTATGTTTCCATGATGCGAGTTCTTTAATTTCTCGACATTTTTTCGTATGACGCTATGTACCGTTTTTGCGTAAAAATTATTTTTATGCATTGAAAAATTGCAAGCTTGGCAATTAATATCGGGTAAAAATAACCTATTTTTAAAATAGGCCAGCAACCTAACCTCGAAACACAAGTAATTATTCATAAGTATGTATATTTCGAGGCATATTTTATTGTTAAGTAGGTATTTAACCTTGGACACTAAATATAAAAACTTTAAAATACTTCATATAAAATAGGTCAACACCAAAAATTTTTGATCGAAGCGCGAAGGCGGCTCATTTTCAATGCAAAGGGGCTAGAAATGATGCAATCAGCTTCCCGGCCGTCGCCACGTGCGTCTAATCCACATTCATCGTTGCCAGATGTCCAACAGAATACCTGTTTAATACCAGTTTAATACCGAACAAAACCAGTTTATTACCAAATAATACCAGTTTATTACCAAATTAGTACCAATAAAATACCAAATTAGTACCAAAAGTACCAAAAAATACCAGTATTACCAAGTGCTTGTACAATAAATACCACCAGAGGTTTGCCCCTCGATATTTTCTTTTAGCAACACCATCATTTTTCGCCACATTCCTTGTCTTATCATATAGTTCCCATTATCAGGTGTTTATTTATAATATGGACACAAATATTTTTGAAGGGACAAAAATAAAGAAACAAGCATAAAAGTTGACCAAACTTAGTAGTTATTTGCTTAAGGTGAAAACTGTTGATAATCTGATTTATATTTTTACAAAATATGCCACGCCGAAAATATTTGTCTGAGGATCTTCGCGAAAAAATAATCAAAGCACTTCGGAATGGTGTACAGCAAATGGACATAAGCACAATGTTTAATTTGCATAAGTCTGTCATTAGCAAAACGATTTCCAATTTCAAAAATCGCAATTTCTTAAAAACTATTAAAAAAGTGGTCGGCCAAGGAAAACAACGAAAAAAATTGAAACGATAATTAAAAAAATCGCCTTAACTAATCCGCATAAATCGGCAAATCAAATTTTGAGTAAACTATCTGGTGTCAATATAAGCTCTAAGACCATTCAAAGAAGGCTAAGGGAAGCAGGATTATTTAGCAGAAGAGCAGCCAGAAAAACACTCATCAGTAAGAAGAACCAGAAGGCCTGACTTACCTTTGCAAAAAAATATTTGCCTGGTCGACGAATGCCTGGAAAAAGGTCCTGTTTTCAGATGAAAGCAAATTCAATATATTTGGATCCGATGGCATGTTGTAGATGCATCGCCCAGAAGGGAAAAGATTTGATCCAAAGTATACCAAGACCACTGTAAAGCATGGTGGTGGATCTTACATGGTGTGGGGATGCTTCTCGGGCTATGGCATGAGACCACTGCATGTAATAGAAGGAACAATGGATCGATTTATGTATTTGGACATCTTAAAGAAAGGGATGATTCCGTTTGCTAATGATAATTAACCTGATATTTCAGCAAGATAATGATCCAAAGCATAAATCGAAAGACTTACAAGAATGGTTTTTGTCTGAACAAATTAGGGTTACGGACTTTCCTCTCCAAACTCCAGACCTTAACCCCATTTAAAACACCTGTGGAGAGGAACTAGATCGCCGGATAAGACGAAGTCACATTAGCAATAAGAAAGATTTGATAAGAATTTTGAAAGAGGCCTGGAATTCCATTGAACCAGATACCATAAGAAAATTATTGGACTCCATGCCAAAACGATGTCGTGGTATAGCTACCGCGGTTACTCTACCCATTATTAATTTTATTAGGTTAGCAACAACTATGTACTTGTAATTTTTATATTAATTTTTAGTTTCTCTATTTTTGTCCTTATAGTTTTTTATTTAACTGAATAAAATCTTAAGTTTTTGTGGGGCATGTGATTATTTCCTTTAAATAAGAACTATCTTTAATTTTAACAATGCGTAAAATGGCCTCAGTCCCTGCGTTAACAAAAAAAAACACAATTTTAAAAGGTTTCTCTACTTTTGTCCGATACTGTAGATTATGAATAATAATATAAAATGAAAATGGACACTCATCTAACTACCATTTAAGCTATACTTTTACTTTAAACTTTCCTAGAGCTACGTAAAATCTCTGGTACTAATAACGATCTCCTGTACCGAATATTATTAAATCGGTGTTTATCCCCTGGACGACCACAAACTTAATTAAGTTGGATTGTGAAGGATTCCAGAACAAGCCGGAAAATTGTCTTACTTAATTAAATTTTTATGTTTACAGACAAGCATTAACGCGATGATGGAAGTACTAATCTGTGGCTTAGCAGGAATTTTATGGATTTGCTCTTAAAATTAAGGAAAAACAGCTGTAGAGGAAACCTGAAATTTTGTTTATTAGATGGGGAAGTGTCAAGTAATTTTAGTTTTTCTGATCTGAATGGAATTAACTTATCTTTAAAACTATTTTTTTTATAAAAGTGTTTTGAAATTAATTAATTCTGTGTTACTGCATGTCCAACCATGATAATTTGTTTAAATAAAAATCTTAATAAACCAAATTAATAATAGAATAGAATTTACTTATTTTTATCTGCAGAATATGCTGCCGAAGTTTCCGGAATACAGTTCGGACCACCCTGTATATTTTTAGTTGATTTTTTTACTTAGTTTGCCAAATTTATTAACAATGATACAAAATATAATATGATTTAAACTTATATTATTATTTTTAGTTATTAAGATAATTAAATTAACTAATCTTTAGCCTAATGGCACCCTCTATACATCTTTTTCTTCGCATTGTTCTAAAAATAATATACAAATTTAAAAACAATTTAATTGAAATAAACTGACTAACAAAAACAATTTAACTTAAATAAATATAGGATTGTGAGAAAATTTAAAATATATACAACAATGAGATAAAAGACTCAACATTTAATAAAATAAATACGGTATATAAAACTGTATAAATACTCTACCTACAGTATTGGCCATAAGTGGATGAACTTTGTTAAAATAATGGGTTTTTCCTAATATGTTTAAAATTAAAATTTGAGCTATATTTACTTAAAGTCTAGTGTCAGTGCTATAAAAATAAATAGCATTGTTTTTTTTAAAATGTGCTTTAATAAGGTAGCA